GCTATGTTTTATTTGTGAGAATGGTGTTGTAGGGTGTAAAATAATTCATCACACACAAGGCCACATAGAAGCTTCTGAACTCTATCAAGACAGGCAAATGAAGACTGGACAACAGATATGGCAGTAGTACTCCATTTGTGGTCAGATCAATAAGCTCATACTGAAGCACTTTTTTTTAAAAATCAGTTTTACCCCAAGCAAGGTAGTTAAGTCACTAAGACACAAGGGGTTACTGGGTGTGGAAGAATTAGAAACAAATATTACTAATGAGCAGGAAGAGAAAAGAGTAATCAGGAGGACAGTAGGTAGTGATTGATATTGTATTTAAATTTTTGCAGATTAAAGTTGGCTGCAAAACATGGAGCCAGAAGAGAGTTCCACAAGTGAGAAATGTGTGAAAGAAACTTTTAACATAGAATTTACAGCTACATCTAGCCAGCTCAACTATAAATTTATGAGACCTCATTGCATGTCTAGTACTGTACTTAAATTCAAAGTTTAGGTACAATAACAAAGAGCTCATCCAAACAATTACCATGAAAATATTTATAGAAAAGTTACAGGGAGGCAATCTTATGGCAGTGGGAAAGTGACTGAAGCTCAGCCATCAAATCAGGACTGATAATATTGCCGATTCTTTTTTGGATTTTATCAAGGAGCTCAAGATAATTAGAGGGACACCAAACCATATGTGGCAGCAGCAATATTCTAAGCATGGGTGAATGGTATACTTACAGATATGTAAGAGAGATTCTGGAGAGAAAAATTGTCTTGCATGACAGAGTGAACTAATTTTCTTAGAAGCTGACCTAGCAATGCATTCAATATAGATTATCCACTTCGTGTTAGCTGAGATTGTTAGCCCAAGAAGGTCACTTTCCTGGAGATTAGTATCAGCAATGCTGATGGAAGGCAGAGAGAGGTCTAGATGATTAAAGTTTAGTTTTGGAGACATTAAAATTAACAAGCCATCTTTTGCCCCAGTTAACGATGGACTTGAGGTCATCTTTCACATTGGCAGCCATTTTAACCTTGTCAGACTTATCAGCCATACTATCGAAACAGGAGTAAATAGTTGTGTAATCAGTGTAGATATCAAGTTGAGAGCTGATGTCATTAGGAAGGTTATTAATGAAAATTAAGAACAGAGTAGGACCTATGTTAGTATGAAAGGATCTAGATGAGTGGCCATTTAGGATGACTCTCATTTCACAATGACTTCCCATTTCACATTTTTGAACTGATCCAAGACTGGATCAGTTCAAAAATGTGCCCAGAGACACCATAATTTTTCAGCCTGTGGAGAAGACCTGCATGCCAAACCTTGTCAAAGGCTTTCAATGTGTCCAATGCTACAGCCTGGGCTTCACCGATTTTATCTAGAGCATGATAGACTTTTTCTGCAATTATCAGTACATCAACAGTTGACCTGGAGAAATGAAAGCCATATTGCTTATCTGAAGAAAGTATGTGATGAGAAATGATGAACCATTGATTAGGGCCTCAAAAATAGTTTCTCAAAAATAGGTAGAAGGTAGGTATTTGCAAATAAACTACATTGTCTATTATCAGGATGATATATTTATAACAGGAGTGTCAGACTCAGAACATTTGACCAACATTGACAGAGTGTTAAAGAAATTCTCAGAATCCAGTCTCCACTTTTGTTTGGGTAAATGTAAATTTATGACACCATCTGTCACTTACCTTGGTTATTTGATTTATAGCTATGTCCGCTGTATTCTGTTGCAGAAAGGTGTCTCTTGGAGACGGAGCATCAGTCAATCAACAGCCTTTCAGCAAGCCAAAATTCTTTATAAATTACAAATGTTCTGATCCTGAAAAAGAACTAGTCTTGAGCTGCAGTGCTGGTCAGTATAGTGTAGGAGCTGTTTTGTCCAAAATCTGTCCCAGTGATTCAGAGAAACCTGTTACTTTTTCTTCCAGAATATTATCACCAGCTGAGAAGAACTATAATCAACTAAACAAGGACCTGTTCATCATTATTAGAGTAAGAAAACAAAATTCCACCAGTATCTTTTCGGGCATACATTCTGTATCATCTCAGAACATAAACCACTAATCAGCCTATTGGGTGGCATTTAAGCTAACTCCTGCATATGGCTCTTGATTAGGCCTTCATCACAATATGTAGGAAGGAGTAGATGCAATAGGCAACAATAAAATACAGAAAAACTCAAAATTGATTGCTGCATCTAAGTATTGTATTAATATTTAAGTTTACCTTTTAAAAATTCAACACTAATTCTTCTTCTGCCACTTAATTTAAAGACAATTTGATGTATGAATGTCCTTACTTTCCATACAAACAATTATTTTAATCTCATGGGTGACTTTTGCTGGATTCTGCAATTAATTTTGATTATTCCCAAATTTATTTCCAAGTTATGAAAATTGTTATTGTACAAAAAATTTGTGGCAAAAAATCACGTTAAAAAAATATAAAATAATCACCAAAAACAATCACAGTAATGAAAACTTGGGAATTCAAAATTTCATTGCGGATCCAGATCTGGTCCAAAATGTTTTTAATTTGCTCACAGAGTTGACCCAATTATTATATGTTGGGTGATGGCTTCTAGGAGTAAAGTTGAAAACACAGACAATTTTATTTTGAAACACTGTAATTTGAGAACAGTAATTTTTTTGTTTGAACATGAGCTATTGAAAGTTAGAGAGTTGTCCCTTTAATTGTTTTTATCAGTAAAAGTCAAGATGGCGGAATCTGAAAACAATCATAGTAATGAAAACATGGGAATCCAAAATTTCAAGATTGTGGGTCTGCATCTGGCCCAGAATGTTTTTAATTTGCTCACGGAGTCAGCCTAATTCCAAAATGGCATATGTTGGGCTACGGGCTCTAGAAGTAAAGTTGAAAAGTGTGACACTGATACTTGCATTTATTATAGCGATTATTTTTTTAATATTTTCTTCCTTTTCCTGAATATGGCAGAATTATCTTTGTTCATGAAAAAAAAAATTCATAAAGGCAGTCTACTCAGACTCATCCTCATTTTGAGATTAACAAATCTAAAAAGGAGAAATGTGTACAAAAACTGATAAGAGAATAACTGGGAGACACTGAGCACTTCTGGCCCAGGTATTTAAGGGAAGTAAGGATGTACTGAAGTAACCTCCTAATAAAAGGCTAAAACAAAACATGATTTTGTTTTCTATGAGAAACATCATATAGGCAATGATGGAAATATCGTGTTACTCTATTTCTTCCCATAGACCAATCGGTTCAATGCTGCCATATGTAGGAGATATATTGGCCAAGGCTTACAACATCCATGAAAGCTGCACATTCAAGCAGGACTGTCCTCATGACCCATGTCACCCAGGACTGACTGTCTGAAAGTTTTCAAAATGTTGACACCCCCTAATGTATGGCCTCATCAGAGGCTTGATTTGGATCCCCTCAACTAATATCTAGAGTATTGTCAAAAGAACTGAAATAAAAGTCCCACAATATTAAAGACAGTCATTGTGAACATGGTGGCCATCTATGTATAAGAATCATTTGATCTAGGCATTTAGTCATTTCCAATGTTGTATCAAGGCTGAAGGTAGTTCTACTGAACAACCATCTTTGGCTTTTTTTTTTGGATATGCATAAAAATATTTTTTTAAAATATACTGATTTTTTTCTATTGAAAATCTTTTTTCTTTACATTCTAATTTTTTCTCAGTTACATGACACATCATGTATATAACATATATAATTGCATATATTAAGAATTGACCATTTTTTTTCTATTGAATACCTTTGTTTTTCTATATATTATTAATTCTCAATTACCTGACACACCCTATATATAATAATAGTATATATTAACAAAAAATCTGTTTTATTTTTTCTCAGTTGCCCAACACACACAGTGTATGTGTGTGTGTGTGTGTGCGTGAAAAGTGTATGTGTGTATATATATATATATATAAAATATATGTTATTATTTATATATTATATGCATGGTACTTATTAGAAAGCACTCAATATCAGAGATAGAGCTAACATATTTGGTTGGATTGATGCGAGTTTGTGACCCTGGGTTTCACGCTTTTGCGATTATCAGACAAACTGATTAATTTTTAAAAAATTTTGGATTTATGTAGATTGCGTGTATCGGTGTTATTATAGAAGTGGGGGGGGGAATCGTCGAGGTGATGTCACTCATGCTAACGCAAAAACATAGATGCATGTCCGTACACCCATTGACGACGCAGACACACATACACACTCGCTCGTCCGCCAGGGGCTCATACAAACATAAACATATGTGGACAGTATGGGACTTGACATATGTATGTATATGTGTGCTGTTGTCTATATACATATGCATTTGTATGTTGAAATTCAAAGATCGGAAATGTAGAGAAAATTTCTCTTGAAGCACACATATACATACATATGTCAAGTCTATATATATATATATATATATATATATATATATATATATATATATTACACACGCATGCACATACAGTCACTCCTCACTTAACATCCTTTCTGTTTAACAGCCCCTGTCTTCTGATCAGCTTAAAAATAACTCCAAAATATTACAAATTGTACAAAAGTGCCATTTATCTGAAGCTGGTTGACACACATGCATTACACAGGTAGAATACCTGAAATAGCAGTCAGGTATAACTTAGGGACCAGCTCATTTAGTAAGCAGATTGTTGGAACAGTACCCACTGGTTAAATGATTAGTGGTTGTACATTAACAAAATAGATTGATTTTTCTATTGAATATCTTTGTTTTTCTGTATGTTTTAATTTGTTCTCAATTACCTGACACACACTGTATATTTTATAAAATTTGCATGCAAGAGTAATTATTTTTTAAATATATTTTTCATATCATTTTTATTATACAATTATTCTTTATTATCTTCTTTCAGTGCTAACTGCCGTCATTTTCTTTCATATTTTCTGACATTTTTTGTAATATTTTCTTTGCTATGTCCATATATACAGCAGCCTGTCAATAAAAAGAACAAATTGTTATCAAACAGTAAAATTCTCATACAATAAATAAATGCATTTATAATATAATTTTCTAAGTGATATTTTTTTTCTGCTACCATGCATCATTTTCATGCAATAGACATTGGAATATGGTCCAGGAATATGTTAAGCTCTGCTTAAAATTAGGTCTCTCTTTGATTCACTCTACATCAAAACCTGTTGGCCAGATGTGAATGATACAAAAGCAAAATTAAAAATAAAAAAAACGCTTTGTGAGCAGGGACTCTGAGCATTAAATCTGATTCACAAAACCAATCCCCCCTTCCAAAATATAAAAAACAATTTAAACATCAGAGGCCATTGCTGCTAAAACAAAATGCTGGGTCATGTAATCACCCTGACTGCTTAAAAAGACCTGCACACAGGGCTGGATTACAAATTTTTGGAGCACCTAGACTGATGAAATTGTGAACCTACCACTTCAGACAGGGTGACCCTGTAACTCGCCTACTTACACCCACTTTGAAAATGTTTTTTTTTTTATTTACTTGTGATATATCTTAGCAACAGAGAGCTGCAAGTAAACTAGAATAACTATCTTTTGTTTGTCAATAAAAATATTCTTTAAGAAATACAATTTTAGTATTTAGTGCAAATCAGATTAGCACATATTTCAGCACAAACATAGTAAAAAAAAACAAAATAAAAACAGATTTTTATAACCAGCATTATAAAAATAAAACACTCAAAATAGTTTGTCAAATTGATATTGTTTCAGTTTATGAAACTATTTACAAGTTATACCAAATCAAAATCACTGCTTTATAAAAATTTCTAAGATTTAAAAATTCTGAATTGCAATCAAAGATGTTATCTACTTGAAACAATGATATAAACTAAAACATTCTTTTCCATGCCCTGAATCCTGCAAAGTCAAATAAATATGAGTTTGTTATATTGATATCATTTGAGCTTAAGAAACTATTTAGAGGTTATAAAATATAGAAAATTAAAAACATTGCTTTATAAAAACTTGAAGGGTCCTAGACTACAGCCAATACTAACCAAAAGGATAATCTGGCCCTGCCCCTAAGTAATACTCAAAGCAGGCAGAGAGACATTCTACCTTGATCCATTATACTAGCAATACATAGAATTTTATTTTAACATATCTTGTGTCCTTTTCTTTCCTCTTTACTGGCAATACTTTGTTGATTTCATTTGTTCATTTGCAACTATGCATGTTATATAACAAATATATCAGCTAAAATAATCTATATATAATGTTAAGAAGAGTCATTCAACAACTGAACTCCTTCTTGGAATGAAATGAAGTGTTTATGTTAACATTTGTTTTTTTTGTAAAATGAGAAATCTCTCTTTTTTAACTTTTTTGATTTGGTTTTGTCTAGCCTCATATCAACTTCTATGAATTATTTAATGCTGAAATCTAAATATCTCGCACACAATTTAATGGCTTCAACTAAATATATTTTGAATACAATTGCATTCAGCAACAGATAAAATTTATTGTTGGTCATTTTACTATATAAATTTATTTTCATAGTATCATAGTGTTTTGTTTTGGTTTGGGGGTTCACTATTTGCTGGGATCCTAACAGGTGCTACTGCCCCAGGGCAAGGTGGACCTGGGAACAACAGCAATTAAGAGGTGGTTCCATGCTCCTCAAAATCTCCAATCTTCCAATCAGAGGCCTTGCTACTGAATGTAGTTTATCATCATCACAAACCCAGGACTATTGAAGAAGGCCATAGAAAGGATTGGCTGAAATGCTGTAGTAACAAAATATGCAGCAAAAAGATAATGTTGAAAAAAAAAAAAAAAGAAAAAAAAAAGAGTAAAGTTGTATTAAGTAATTTTAGTGTTTTAGTCAATAATAAAATAATGTTAATTAACACATTAACTGTCATGGCACCCTATATTGGTGACATTAACTGTCATGGCACCCTATTTTGGTGACATTAACTGTCATGGCACTCTATATTGGTGACAAAGCATTTCAGTTTCTGCTGTCTCTCCAGATATTGCTGATGGTTATATTTTCATTTTAAATTGTTTTGCCAAATGTTGGAGACAGTGACATGCAGAGGTTTAGTGATGTATGGTGTTACCTGGGGGCCAACTCCTTGATTGTATACCTCTAAGACTCAAATAGGGGGACTTATAGGGCCTACAACTGAGAGATATGAGAAAGGAAGACATTTGAAATATGTAAAAACAGATGAAACATGAAATAAACACTTTATTCAAATTAAATATAAACTAAATTTTTATTTCACTCTTTGATTGGATGCCCTCCCAATATGGCTGACCAGCACTATCTCTCCCTCTGTTCCCCATCTTTTGTACACTAATGGTTGGCATATTTCTATATAAGCAGTGTGTGTGGATTCCTGTGAAATTTTGGGAAAATACATCTGGCACTCTGCTTCTCTTAACTTTTGCTGTCAGGTTTTATAAATGTATAGTAGGTATATATATGTATAAAAAAAACTAAGCTAAGGTAAAAGAGTTATTAATTCAACTACAATATTAGTAATATTAAAGAAGAATTAATTTTGTCACTAGTATATGGTGACATGGCTGTAATTATAGAATAAACGTAAATCACATTTATAAAACATAATAATGTTTCTTTATTTGCTATGAAGCACCTAATTGTTAGAAATTTATATATATACATATATAATTTGAAAAATCTAAAAAAGGACATTATGCACATAAGAAAGTAGCTGTCATCAATCTCCATAATAGCATTTTTTTCCTCATAATATCTAACACTCAGTAGCCCCCTTGCATCTTAGTGGTGGTATTGCCTTGCTTGGGGTGAAATGATTAAAAAGAAGAAAAAGGAAGTATTTCAAGCAAGCCACTAATGGATTACTGTTAGAGAATATGAGATAAAAGAAAATCATTATTAAGGAGAGAGAACAATAATAGAACAAGAATTAAGAAGACAGAAGATAATGATTGACACTGTGTTTAAATTTTTGAAGATCAAACTTGACCTGAAAGCAAAAAACCAGGAGAGAGTTCCACAAGTGAGAAGTGCAAGAAAAGAAACTGTTAGCATAGAACTTACGATTACATCAAGCAATTTCAACAGTAAAATGAAGAGACATAGCTGCCAATATAGTATTGTAATTAAATTTGTGAAGTTAAGGTACTAAAGAGGAAAGCGGGTTAGAACAATTACCAGGAAAATATTTATAGAAAAGGCACAGGGAAGTTATGTTATGGCAATGGGAAAGTGCCTGAAGTGTGAGATCAGGAATGATAACTTTGCAGATTCTTCTTTGGATTTTGTCAAGAATCCCTAAATACATAGCAGAATTATGAAACCAGATGTAGTAGCAATATTTGAAGCATTGACAAATGGCAGACTTATGTGTAAGATAGATTCTGGTGAAAGAAATTGTCTAAAACGACACAGTATAGCAACTTTCCTAGCAGTAGATTTAGCACTTGATTCAATATATGTCTATGTTTCTGAGATGAGGTTATGTAAATAGTGATTCAATATAATCTTTCCATTTCATGTCAGCAGAAAATGTTAGTCCAAGAAGGCACAATGAATTACACTCCTGGAGGTTAGCATTATCCATGCAATTTGTCTATTTCTTTCCTTACTTTGCTGACTTAACTGCTTTCTAAAGTTCTAACATTCATTATCACCCCCAACCCAAACTTTTAGGCTATTATTTATTATTGAAAGATAAAGTTTCTTCTTAACTCCAAAAGAAAATGATAATGTTTAATACAAAAAAAAAAAAAAAAAAATCAAAATGACGCATTTTTACCTGGGGGCTATTAGGTTGAGAAATAGCAATGGGAGATCCATTGTCACTATTTTCACAAATGCTGATATGAAGAGGAACATTTCCTGCAATTAAATAAAAAGAAAGCATTTACTTTTAAAAAATATAAAAAGAATTATGTTTCTGTAATAACTATCATCTTTTGTGCACAAAACTAATCCAATGTCAATCATTATTTTACAACAAGGATTTCTTCCTACTAAGTATATCTATTGATTTTTATCACAATTATAAATAGATTGATGTTTTTTACAGTTTATCAACCTTTTGCAGGTTATTTAAAGAGAGAAAATATTTTTAGATTATAAGAATTGTTTTGAAGATAATAATGATTTACTGATACAAGTTCTACTAATTAACCCATAGCTAGGAGAGAAGAGATGGATTGATACCTTTCCAAAGTCTATTTGTGCGAAAGTGAATATAATGAACTGTAATTGGAACTCGTTTCTCCAATTTCAATCTATTGCATCATCCACACATCCAAGCAGTTGTTATTCCCAAGCAATCACTAATTTAGGTACTGACCAGTACTTTTTTCTTTCCAGATCAAAATTGTAACTTCTCTTAAAAGGAATATTTTACTGCAACGATGGCCAACCTGTGGCGCATGCACCATAAGTGGCGCATTGGATGCTTGCAAGTGGCGCATTGCATCCTTTTGATGAAAAGAAACTAAGCCACTTCTATTCATTCATTTCAGTGATTTTATATTTATTGCACAACTTATATTTATTTCAAAACTCCTGGATACGCCTCTGGTCATAAGCATATATTTTTCAAATAAATAGATTTTATTATAACTTTAAAATATGTCCATATTACAACACATACTGAAAGGAAGTGAATGTTTGTGTGGCGCATTTAAATTAATCGTACAAAATATTGGCGCATGGAATCAAAAGGTTGGCCACCCCTGTTTTACTGAGATGAATTTTTGTTGCGAGTAACTCTGCTAATACTAAGGGTATTTATGTGTGTGTCCACATTGCAACAGAATGTGACACAAGGTTAAGTTTAATATGGATTTTTTGGTAATAATGTAAAAAGATATAAAACATCAAAATGGCAACCCCATCCTGGAGATGGGTTGTCCTCTTCAAGATGGAGTTAAGTTGGTCATATCATGCAAAAGGCAGCTGTTAATGCCACAAGACAAATTTTCACCTGTAACATCCAAAGTTAAAAAAAAATAAATAAATAAAAGAGTGTATCCCAAAAAAGCAAATGGTGGTAATATCTTGAAACTTTTAGCTTTTATATCTAGCACAACATTTTTTGGCATTAGGAAGTTTACTCCCAAAGTATTTTTAAAAACATTTTAATTAAATTTAACAGTCAAAATTTTATTTCCTCAAAAATTATAATCAATATTGACATTTGTTGAACTAATATCCTCTTTCTTATTATTATCATCCTAATGTTTTAATGGTTGTGCCTTCTAGATTCAGTTCAAAATTCCCTGACAGTTACCTGGATCAACAGACACCTGAAGAAACTGAAATGTTGTGATAATAGCAATAAAGATAAGGACATTAATCCAAATGTAAATAATAACTCTCCATCCCAGAAATTCAGACAGAATCAATATCTATTCACATTTCTATAAAAAAAAATATCTGAATTTATTTTAGGTAACCAACAATTTTGTGACTTTAAGGTACAAAACTTGCCAATACTATTTTGGCAAAAATTTTACCTGGAAATCAAAGAGGATTTCAAATCGTCCGCTTCACACTCCTCCCTGGTCTTTTGAACAGGAGTAGAGATTTATCCCTTGTTTGCTGTTTAGGATTGGGCTTCCGATTCCTTTTAAAAGTCTACTTCAGCTCTTTACTCCTAACATTTGTCCTTTCCTATGATAATTCCAGATAGCAATCTTCTACCCTGAATGGCCTTATATTGGGTGAACATTAGTAAAAAAAAAATAAATGTTCTGCTTTCTACATACCTAAGATGTCTAACTTCATCTCTTGGGCAATTTTCTCAGCTCCATTCTTGCCAAAAATATGTTCAGCATGTCCACATTTGGAACAAATATGGACACTCATATTTTGCACAATTCCCAAGATGGGTACATTCACTTTGGAGAACATCTCTGCTCCTCTTCTAGCATCCAATAATGCAATGTCTTGTGGTGTTGTTACAATTACAGCACCTGGAGAAATAGAAATAAGGAATCACTCTTACAAGTTACCAATATATGAACAAGGAGGTACTGAAAAATTCTCAACATGACCAACTTCTCAAAATTTGATGGAACACTTGGTTAATTTGGACCCCCTCTCTCTCTATTGTACTTAATTTGGTACAACTAATTTCACTACATGTTCTGGCATTTGTCTACATATTTAACCTACCTATGCTCTTAGCTCTTATATGTCAGGACAGGTGCCTAGTATCATGTAGGATACTTATCTAGACTGCAAAGTGCAGCAGCTCAATTAGATTCCACAAATGGCTGGAAAACCTCTGCAAAGATAATTTCTATCTGAATTTCTAGGATGAGGAGTTATCATAATTTACACTATTTACATTTGGTCTATTATCCTCTACTGTTGTTGTCATGTTTCAGCTGTTGTACCCTCTGGCCATCATCAGGTGTATATTGATCTGGGTAACCTACAGGGAATTCTGAACCCATTATTTAGTTTACAGGAGTAGACTGTTCTCATTCCTCTACCCATGCCTATGGATATCATCTAGTTCTTATTTTTAGTACTACCCAGTCAATATAATTTACCCTATTTACATTTGGACTACTGTCATCATCTGAACCCTTTATTTAATTTACAGAGGTAGACTGTTCTCATTTCTCTGCCCATGCCTAGGGATATTGTCTAGTACTCTTCAGTTATTGCTTGTCTGTTTCCACTGAGTCAAAGTACACACTGCTCAGTCCAGGGACTAAATTCACAATTATGTCAAATCAGAAACCAATGCTTTAATCTACTAGGAATTCTCCCCAAAACAATTCGGAGTAACCCAATGACAAGGTGCCATAATAAACAATCATTGTTGCAGTACATGGAGTTATGGGTAGGACACACTGGGTTCTTATAGCCTTGGGTGGCAACCAGATTAGGAGAAGGAAAATTCTAAATTCAAAACTGTACGTAGCCCTGGTTAAGCACATACTAAGCAGCTAAAGGAAAGGATCATTTGCATTGATTCGATGATCCTGTCTATGGTCAATTACTTTTTCTTATGGAGTTCATGAATAGATGCAAATGGCAACAAAGCAGTGAAACATATCAGCCACTATTCAATGGAAAGTTTAGATAGACCAGCAGACACAACCCATAATATGCAAATATACCCAGCTCCATTACAGAATCACTATCAGCCTGCATGCTGTTTGCTTACCAGTGGATGCCACAGCCTAATGGGGGTCTGTGCCACACCCAAACTCTAGCATTATCCTGAAACAACTAGAACCATAACTCATTGGACCATGTCACAATTGCCAGTTCTCCAGAGATTAATTAGCAATGTCACAAACCCAGTGTATTTGATGTTATGGTATTGATGTGGGGCCAAAGTTGGGACCACAGAAGGAAAACACAGAACAGTTTTTGGAGAGTCAATCCTTGTTCGTTCTCAAGCTTGGTCAGTACCCGTCGTCTGACTTCGGTGTCTTCTGCTGATACTAGACCTTGTGCGAAAATCAAGCACTTGAAATCATCGGCAGTCAGTTCGGCTAGTTTAAAATAATTACAGAGCTTGTTTACCGATGCTGCAAACGTTAGAAAATCTTGCTGTTTGTTTTTGACTGTGTTCAGGCATTTCCAACGTTTGTGGAACAAGGTTGTGTTAGGCCCGAATAGTTTCGATAGGAGCTTAATAGTCTCTGAAAAATCTAAGTCAGTCGTTTTCTTTGGTAGTATGAAGTCTACGAACCTTCTATGTTCTGTAGTTCCCAGTTTTCTCAATAGAAGATGTACCTTTTTTTTACTGGACCATTGTTTACAGTCTACGTTGAAAATATCTTCATGGCGCCTGTAAAAAGCCTGGAACGTTTTGTCTTCCTCTGGTACGTATTCAAAGGTTTCCATTGAATTGTAGATTATACTCTGGGAGAATATTGTATCTTTTTCAGAGTTTGAGCCTTTTAATGCATTTACAAGTAATTGTTTAAGTTAATTCTGTTGTAGTTCAGCATTCTAAAGCATAATTTTTTAGAATTCCATTTGTTGTTTATGTAATTCCAAAAATAGTTGTTGTTGTCTTTCTTCTGATTTTTGTTGCTGATCCAAATTTAGTTTTAACATTTGAGCAAATACTTTTTGCAAATCTTCCATATTTAAAAATGACAGCGCTTTTTTTTGTTTCTTTGAAACACGTATACTAAGAGGAGGTACACAAAAAAAATCTTGATAGATTTTTGTTCCTTTTTTTTTCTTTTACAGAAAAAAAAATATGACAGACAATTAGTTCAACTAAACCAATTATATGTGTTTAGCTTTTTTTTCCCGTGGTTCTGTTAATTTTAACGTAATTGAATAATTTTTCACCACAATTATGTATTTTTTTTTTAGAAAGGTACAAAAAGAGAAAACTCACCTCAGTGAATTTGAGGGGAGAATAATTTTATGCCAGAGTTCAACTCAGTTACATAAAAAAATTTTTCGATAGTTTTTTTTTTGAAAACTTGAATACAATGGTAGTACTTGCTCTTGTATTGTCAGTTTGTTTTACGAACAACTGTTTTTTTTTTCTGTGTGTGTGGGTGTGTAAAAATTTGTTCTCATACTGTTATTTGGACAGACTTAAATATTCCGTAGATGTCGAATCGCTAGTTCGTCACTGATGTTTGGTATTGGAATATATATTATTTTTTTTTTTATATGTAGACGCTGGGTGTTGCGTTTAAATCGCTAATGTAGTAATACCAGCTTAATTTCTCATTCAACACAACTGTGGGAACGTGTGGAGTTTCTGTGTATTTTTCAAATACTCTGTCACTATTGGTATGGTGAGACGAAATTCTCGAATCTTTTCTGTCGCCACTGTTGTGGGACTGGCAAGGTATTGCGGTTTTTCGACGTGAATGCGTTTCTAGAATTCTTCGTCGACCCAGATGTGGGACTGGTAAGGTATTGAGGTTTCGCCATGAGTGCGTTTCTAGAAGTCTCATCGCCACTGATGTGGAACTGGTAAGGTATTGAGGTTTTGCCGTGAGTGCGTTTCTCGAATCCTCATTGCCACTGATGTGGGGCCAAAGTTGGGACCACAGAAGGAAAACACGAAACACGGATTAGATGTAAGAAAGATATATTAACAACAGGTTACAGAGATAGTGTAAGCGGAGCTTACTATATGTTAGTGTCCAATACTGGTAGTCGTACGCAGCTCTCTCTAACTCTATGTCACGCTCTAGAGTGTTGTGTCGCATACTTAATATACACCTGGAAGAGTCTATTGTGTAGGTAGTTCCGGTCTCACAATAGGTATTAACAAGAGCACCCTAGTGCATCTTCGGTTCCTACATTCTGTGGAAGCTAAAGAATGCTTTAATGACCTGCTGGAAATGCATTTGGTATCTCTGCATTGACTGTGGATGTGATTTGAATCAGTGTCTCATTTCACAGACAATTCTAGCAAGATACTTTTCATAATGATCACACTGACTCACTAGATGTCAGAGTACAACATATAGGTCTGGGCATTTACATAACATCAAAGTACAGTAGTACCACCTACCATTACCTTTACATACTGATATCCTATGACTTTTGACACATCAGTGTAATTTTAATCCTATTTAAATTAAATTTAAATTGGGGCTGTGACTCCTCAAATATATTATATGCTTCCAGTTCTCCGGGATCCAATTAGCAATATCACAAGCACAGTTAAGCCACTGTGTCTAATGTTATGGTGCTGACAGGAGCACCTTGATGGGTCTTCTGCTCCCATATCCTATGAATACCAAGGAACACTAAATTGACCTGCTGGATATACATGTTTCCACTTGGATTGAATGTGGATGTGATTTGACCCAGTGTTACTTGTCTGTTAGTAGACAATTCTAGCCAATTATCTCTGGACATAATCATTAAGGACCTGTAGTTGGCCAGTGGACTGTCCTCAGTAGTCAGTAATGTCTTCTATCCAGTATTCTTGGTAAACATGTGACATTAGGTGTTGTCAAATGTTCCCTAAAACTTCAGAAATGGAATAACACATATGTCTGGAACTCACTATCTTGCCCTGTTTAGACATTGATAATTCACACCATTTTGCCATAAGCAGCCTAGCCAATGTTCACAGTGATATCAGAGCACAATGATATAGGTCTGGGCATTTCTATGACATCAAGGTATTGTGGTACCACTGACCATTACATTTACAAACTGCCATCTCATAAGTTTTGGCACATCAGTGTATATAGCAGTGTAGGCATTGAAAAATGAGTCATCTGATTAGACAAAAATCTGTGCAGATAAGTCTGTTATTTCCCAAGTGCTCATTGTAAACCATTGTAAACCAGTATTATTATTTATTTCATGAAAATGAGTAAATGACAAAAAACACATAATAATAATTAACACCATCACTACTAGGTTCACACTCCTCCCTTATATTTTGAACAGGAGTAGAGGTTTATCACTTGTTTCCTGTTTTGGAATGGGTTTCTGGTTTCTTCTAAAGTTTTCTCATTCACTTTCACTCCCAGTAGCCCATTAGCATCATTACCTTGCTTGGGGTGAATTGATTAAGAAAGAATTTCTCAATATTAAAACCATTAAAATAAACCATCAGCCATTTAATAAAAGGACACATTGCCATGAAGTCCTTACTCTTTCATTATCCAATATATCTGTCAATTGTGTCTGGCAGAGCCAAAACTACAAAACTTGTTAAAACAGAAAACATTTGCTAAATGATATGACAGATGAAGTGTATATTTCTATAGACAGGATATAATGTACATTTATATACAGAAACTGAATGTAAGACTTTTGAAGGAAGCAAGGAGAAAAGTATGTTTTTAAAGTCTAGAATTAGAAATAGTTTCTACTTATTGGTAAAAGAAGAGACCAAGATCCCTGTGTCTTGTGTACCAAACTACAATTCTTCAACCACTCAGTCTTCTCCTGCTGACCAACTTTTGACCACCCAATTATTGATTGGTCAAACTTTTAGTAACTTGGGACTAAAACTGATCAACTGACATTTGAAAGACATTCCTAATTGAGGGATCTTTTTTTTTTAGTGGGGTTACCAGCTAAGTTTTAATTTTTGTACCCTACCTCCTGATCTAAATGGAGTGGTCACCTCACCACACAATTTTGATTGCCAAATAAAAATACATAAAAATCTGCTCTCTTATAAACAGATACTCACCTGATATGGGCACATTTTGTGAAAGAGAGAGCTGAATGTCACCAGTTCCAGGAGGTAAATCTACAATCAAATAGTCAATACCTTGCCATGCTACCTGAGAAAAAGAAAAAAAAATGGTTAAGATGGTTGGTTGCTTGGTTGTTTTGTTTTATGGCTTATCAACTCCTCATGGGTCATTTAAAGCTGAAACTGTCTTAAATTGCATAAAATAGAGAAGAATAAACACAGGTAGGTGATGTAACAGTGGCTCAAAATGAGCAATAAAAATAGGAAGGTTATGTTACTAGAAGTAAAGGTGATGTAATAGTGGCTCAAAATGAGCAATAAAAATAGGAAGGTTGTGTTACTAGAAGTAAAGGTGATGTAATAGTTAGTGGCTCAGAATGAGCAATAAAAATAGGAAGGTTGTGTTACTAGAAGTAAAGGTGATGTAATAGTTAGTGGCTCAGAATGAGCAATAAAAATAGGAAGGTTGTGTTACTAGAAGTAAAGGTGATGTGATAGTGGCTCAGAATGAGCAATAAAAATAGGAAGGTTGTGTTACTAGAAGTAAAGGTGATGTAACAGTTAGTGGCTCAGAATGAAAAATAAAGGCAGAAAGGTTGTGTCAAAGGTCTTTCATTTGTGTCAAAATAAAAGCAGGAAGGTTGTGCTGCTAGAATTAAAGGTGGTATAATATTTAGCAGCTCAGAATGAGAAATCAGTAAGCAATTTCAGCCATATTCATTACATGCAAATACTCTTGGGAAAGACATGAATTCATCTATTCTCTCCCCAGCTATTGGTTAAATAGTAGAGCCGATTGGGCTCTTCAGCTTTTGGTGGCAACCAGTCTAGAAGAACAACAACTCAAATTGAAAACTGGTTGGGCATCAGACTAACAAATCCATCCCATGAAAAACCTGCTTGCTATGGAAACTGAAGCAGTAATACCAGATGTCTGTTGAAGATGTGGCCACATATGTCACAGATGGAATAAGCAAGAGAGAATATTCCAAGTGTAGAAGGTCTGCTTGGAAAAAAAAAATAGCAAAAATCTTTGCTTTTTATTTGGGTTCAAACATCTCAAAAGACCTTGAATATAAAAATATACATGTATATGTGTATGCGTGTATATATATATATGTAATATTATCAGTCAGTTATATGTATATATATATATATATATATATATATATATAAATGCAAATGTCAGTGTATAACTGTGTCACACTTTTTCAGCTTTACTCCTAGAGACCATAGCCCAATATATCATACCATTTTGGAATTAGACTGACCCACAATCCTGAAATTTTGGATTCCCAAGTTTTCATTACTGTGATTGTTTTCAGTGATTTTTTTTTTTATATGATTTTTTTTAATGTGATTTCTTGCAAAAATTTTTTTTCATATAACAATTTTAATCACAATTATTATAACTTGGAAATAAATTTGGGAATAATTAAAATTAATTGCAAAATCCAGCAAAAGTCACACATGAAATAAAAATAATTGTTTATATGGAAAGTAAGGACCTAAATACATCAAATGGTGGTAGAAGGTAAGCTTAAATATTAATGCAATACTTAAATGCAGTGATCAATTTTGAGGTCTTCTGTAGTCTATTGTTGCCTATCACATCTACTCCTCTCTGCCTATTGTGATGAGGGCCCAATCAAGAGCTCTCTGCAGGAGCTAGCTTAAATGCTGCCTGATAGGGTGGCTTTTAAGCTAATATATATATATATATATATATATATATATATATATATATATATATATAGTCAAAGGTTACCAAACTGTATCTCATGAGCCATATGGTGTTTAATGTGTGGCACATGGAAAAATGTTAGATGTTCTCTTTTTCTCATTACAATTAATGTAAAAAATAAACAAGAAAGAAAATTCAAGCTTGATAATTATTTATATTGCTTTTATTTTGGGTGCTAAAATTTTATGTTAATGAAAAGCAAATTCACATTTTGGTCTTTATTGTTCCCATAATTCATTATCATTTCATATGCCATACATATTACCTAGGTACCTCCATGAGATCGCTAAAAAAGAGCATAGCATGATGAAAAAGATGCCAAACTTGATGAAAACAAAATTTTATCGCCTAAATGTTTATGTTATTACTAAGAGGAAAGATCAAAGTATTTGTTGGGTATTTTTTTACATTTTTAATCGTTCCTAGCATGTCTGAAATTTTTGTTAAAAATCATGTTTTTTTTTGAGTCAGGAAAATTGACAGATAATCAATCATGTCAACTATTTTTTTCCATTTTATAAAAAAAAAAAAATGAAAATTTCAGTTTGAAATTCTTTTAAAAATCATTTATAAATTTTTAAAACTTAGTTTAAGAAAATCAGAAATTATAATGTTTATTTAAAATATTTTGAAACAAGCATTTAGTTTCTGTACTGAAAAGATGTAGTTTGAAAATAAAACAAAGCAGGTCATAACATTTTGCATCACTTGACAGGTGATGAATGATATATTGACAGATTATGTGAGGATAATTTATTCTATGGAAGGAGAGAAGTGAAATTATTTAGATTTAAGTGAACAAATTCTTTACCTTGTTATTTTTAAGGAAAACTTCAAGCGCTCTAATTTTTTTTGTACTTAGCTTTCACCTTTATGTTTATGATGCTTTATGAAAAATATATTATAAAGAAATCAAAATAAGACTGTTAAGAGTGAGATTAAATTTCATAAGAAAGGTATATAATTAATTTATAGGTACCTTTCTTATGAAATTTTATCAGAAATGTACATAAAATACTATAATTTTATGTACATTTATTACATTTTACTGTATTATTTGTATTTCCATTCATTTTATTATTAATTTTGATATTTCATTTATGGAAAAATGACATTACTGAGATTAATATAAAAATAAGATCATATAAATTTCATAATATACTGATTCTTGTAGGTACCCTTCTCAGTTGAAATTGAAAAATCAAATTAACTTCTCCACACATGTTTTGCAAAAGTAAAGGCCTTAACTTAGGTACCTCCACGAGATCGCTTAAAAAAGAGCATAGCATGATGAAAAAAGGCGTAAACTTGATGAAAACAAAATTTTATCGTCTAAATGTTTGTTATTCATTAAGAGGAAAGGTCAAAGTATTTTTGGGGTATTTTTTTCCATTTTTTTAATCGTTCTAGCACGTCCGAAATTTTCGTTAAAAATCTAGTTTTTTTGAGTCAGCAAAATTGACCATTTTTTTCCATTTTAAAAAAAACTGAAATCTGACTTTGAAATTTTTTTAAATATCAATTATCATTTTTTCAAAACTTATTTGAAGAAAATCAGAAATTATAATGTTTATTTAAAATATTTTGAACCAAACTTAACTTAGCTTTTGTGCCAAAAAGATGTAATTTGAAAATAAAACAAAGCAGGTCATAAACTTTCGCGTCCCTTGACATGTGATGAATGATATATTTACGAATTCCATGAGGCTAATTTGTTCTATGGAAGGAGAAAAGTGAAATAATTTACATTTACGTGAACAAATTATTTACCCGTTATTTTTTGAAAACTTTCAGCGGTCTTATTTTTTTTTTTTTTTTTTGTAAGCTTTCACCTTTATGTTTATGATGCTTTATGGGAGATATATTCTAAAGAAATTAAAATAAAACTGTTAAGAGTGACATTAAATTTCATATTTCTTAAGAAAGGTATCTAATTAATTTATAGGTACCTTTCTTATGAAATTTTATCAGAATTGTACATAAAATACTATAATTTTATGTACATTTATTACATTCTACTGTTATTTTATTTGCATTCATTTTATTATTAATTTTGATATTTCATTTATGGAAAAATGTCGTAACTGAGATTAATATAAAAATAAGATCATATAAATTTCATAAGATGATACTGATACTTGTAGGTAAACCTTCTCAGTTGAAATTGAAAAAATCAAATTAACTTCTCCACACGTGTTTCAAAAAAGTAAAGGCCTTAACAGCGGAGAACAATGCTTAACTCAAATAAAACTTAATTATATTCTGGTTGGTCTTCCGTATTTTATAATTAAAGCTCGATTATAAGCACAAAATTACATTTCTTAATTACTGGGGATCTTCTGATTAGTAAAAATGATACAATTTACAACGCTTTAAAAAAAAGATCTATCTCATAAGGATTTTGTCTTGACTTTTAACTAATTTTATAATATTTTAACAACTTAAATGTAAAATCTATTATAATTAATGAAATAACAAATAATTGTGTTAAAAATTCATTTTTCATCCAAAAATTTTTTGCTTTCAGAAAATATTGTCCATATTCATAAAACAACTAAAAGCAAATAAAAGCATTTGAAATTAAATAATATATTTGTTTTATTTATGTTACAATTCAGAGCTGATTTTCAGGTACTGGGTTTCAAATTAAAAAAAAAAAAACATGATTTATTCCTCAAAGCCCTGTGCTTTTAATTATTGTAAACTAAAATATGCGATCAATTTTAGCGTTTTCATAAAATTAGTTAGGGGGGTAATAAATATTTTTAAAAATATTTCTACCATGACTTTCATAAAAAAAAACATATTTATAATAATTTCGATCATCTGTGAATAGTTCCTGAAAGTTTCATTAACATCGATAATTATTTCTATTTTTGAACGATTTTTCAAATTAATGTGTGTCATACCAAAAAAAAACGTGCTAAAAATTGTCTATGTTATTTACTAGTTATTGATACAAATAGAAACAAGGTTTTTTTAATCAAAATTTAGAATGTTCTAAAAAGAAGGAAAGTTTTTAAAAATAATTAAAAAAAAACTTTGGTCTTTCCTCTTAATAATAACATAAGCATTTAGACAATAAAATTTTGTTTTCGGCAAGGTTGGCGTCTTTTTCATCAAGCTATGCTCTTTTTTTAGCGATTTCGTGGAGGTACCTACAACTGCAGAGAACAATGCTTAACTCAAATAACGCAACTTAATTGTATTCTGGTTGGTCTTCTATACTTTATAATTACAGCCGTATAATAAACACAAAATTACATTTCTTAATTACTGTGGGTCTTTTGACTAGTCAAAACAATACAATTTACAACACTCTAAAAAAGATCTATTGCAAAAGGACAATTACGAAACTGAATGTAGCTTTTAACTAATTTCATAATATTTTAACAACTTAAATGTAAAAATCTATTATAATTAAAGAAATAACAAATAATTGTATTAAAAATTCATTTTTTATCAAAAAAATTTTTTGCTTTCAGAAAATACTGTCCATATTCATAAAAACAACTAAAAGCAAATAAAAGCGTTTGAAATTAAATAATATCTTTGTTTTATTTAGTTTAATATGTTACAATTCAGAGCTGATTTTCAGGTGTGTGAAGGGGGTCCAATTAAAAAAAAATACATGATTTGCTTTCCTCAAAGCCTTGTGCTTTTAACTAATATAATCAGTAAACTGAATGTGACTGAATTTCTAGAGTTTTCATAAAATTAGTTAGGCGGGGGGGGGGGGGGACACACATAAAAAAAGAATTTTTTTTCCATGACTTTAAAAAAGAAAACATATTTATAATAATTTCTATTATTTGTGAATAGTTTCTAAAAGTTTCATTAACATCTGACAATTATTTTTATTTGTGCAAGATTTTCCAAATCAATGTCTGTCATACCAAAAAAAAAAAAAAAAAAAAGTGCTAAAAATTTCTTATTTTACTAGTTCTCATGAAGGTACCTAATATTACCATAGTAAATATGCAAAATATAAAAACGATCATAAGTCAAGATTTTGACTATATTCAGTATATTTGCTTAATTTGTTATTACTGAAACTAATACAAATTAACAGTTTGAAATATTTGTTGGTTACAATTTAGGGAATGACTGGTAACAAAATTTATAGGCAAATCCTATAGATGCATGCTGGGATTTCTTCCTAGTCAATACAATTCTCTGTCTTTTTACCCACATTTCTTTTCTTTCCTGGCTTGAAGTCAGAAGGCTATAATCACTTGACTGTATCCCTTTTGCATATGAATACTATTTCTATCTTGTGAACTTTTTACTTTGTTACTGTTTTAAACTCGTTTTTCTTTTGTCATGTATTATATATTGTTTGTCTCATATTATTTTACCCTGTTCTTTTTTCTTCTTTCCGTTATTGTTATTGAGAATTGTAGAGTGAGTGGCCATGGTTAAATAAATGGCAGAACTGTCCAACAAACAGAACTGACAAAGATCGTAATAAGCAATAACAAGAAAAAGGAAAAAAAAAAGAACAGGGCAAAAATAATGTAAAGCAAGCAAACAAAATATGCAAAGCAAACTATCAGTAATAAGGCAAAACAACAGTAATATGGCAAAAAGTTCACAAACTAAGAAATGGGGTTGACACACAAGCAAATTCAGATGAACAAACACAGCATTCTAACTTCAAGGCAAGAAGACTACGACTGAATCAGATGAAGCCAAGAACTGGAGTATTTTATTGGCTAGGAAGAAATCCCAGCATGCATTTGTGTACTTCTGTCTATAAGTTGGGGGAGAGGAAAGTGTTTTGTAGTCATTCCACATCATATTGGAACTAACAAAAATTTTGTCAATTCTGCTTAAACATATCTGTTTATTCTATGATATTACATACATAAATATTAACAAAATATTTATGTGACAATAAGCAGTTTCTATATGTTGATTTGGCTGAAGGAAAACAATCTACACACAACCTGAAATTGAGCTATAAAGACTGCATTAACACACTGAAGAAGGTCAACATCAGGCAAAATGACAGGGAAAACCAAGCTGTACATATTTCCTCCTAGAGGAAAGCAGTGCACAATGATAAAAGAGACTTTGAACAGAACTGTGTTGCAAATGAAATACTTAGATTAGTAAGATTCCTGATATTAATTTCCCTGAAAATTTTGCCACAGAAAAGAGTAATGAATGTGGCTATGTAGGACAGACCTCAAAACCATCAAAGATGCCATACACAGAGAAAAGTCATTTATTACATTCTATATAGAATTTATGTAATAACTACTGCAAAAGATGCCAAATATTACATCTGCACAAGAGAATGTAAAACCCTAGCAGGACTAAAAAGTCACACCCATGCTGCACAAATCTGATAGATCAAGCAATGAACCTGCCTGAAATCAAATCACAGCCATCATCATGTGAGAATAAAAAATTTATAAAGTTTGTCATACATGGATCTTATATTAAGAAATCTTGGTCACACCTTATGTAAACTTACTTGAGGTATAAACTTCATTGAATAGTTTTTAATAGATCATGAATATTGACCTCTACTGATTCTGCTATATTGAAAAGAATATTTCTTATAGCAGTTATAGAAAAGAATTGTATTTAATTAAGGATAAAAAAACATGATAACTCACCTGTCGAATGAGTTTATCAATGGCTGAAATAACCATTGGGCCACGCCATACAATTGGTGATTTTTCATCAACCAGAAAACCAATAGACATGCTAAAAGTTCAACATAAAATATAGTTAATAAAAATAAAGCAACTTTTATATTAAAAGAAAAAAATATAAAACTTTAAAATTATGAACAATAGTAATTTACTAAATCCCAAGTATATTCACTCAGGCAAAAAGGTTGGGGCCACCCTGCATTTCTTAAAAAAACCTTAAAAGGATATGTTTTTGTACTTTTTTAAAGATAAAATTTCAATAACTGCAGTGTACTTGCTTTTATTTTTCAGTCTTTCTCCAGGCTCCTCTTACTATTAAAAAGTTCAAATTTAGATTTGTTTGTCCACGATAGATTTTGATAAATTATATTTTGTATGAGAAACCTTATATTTTGTTTTAACCATTAACCACTCAGTAAACATTTTGTGATTACCAAATGAACTGGAAATTTGATTTAGGTCAAGTGAATCATGAAAAAAGAACAATATCATTCACTTTTGCAAAGACATGCTTTGCCATCTGGTTTATGCATAAGTGAAAAAAAAAAACTCACCTTTCAACAAGACAATAATCCAAAACACTCTTTCAAATTATGTCAAAATTACCTCAAGTCAAAAACAAAAAAAAAAAAACAACTTTGGAAATTATGACTTGGCTGTCTCAGTGTCCTGTCTTCTCTCCCAGTGAATTAGTATGGGAAGAATTAGGAGAGTTTAAAGTGAATGCAAAAAGAGTGAGAGTAAGCTTTTTCAGTGCTTGAAGAATACTTGGGAAGGTTTACCATCTACTTTTTTTTTCAAAAACTGTTGGAAAGAATACCAAGAATTTGTAAAGCTGTAATTAAGGCAGGTGGTAGTTTTATTGAAGAAAACAAAATATGATATTGTAAGATAACTGTTTTATAGTTAAGGGTTAATTTTTGTCAAAATATAAGCAAATACACTGCAGTTGCTGAAATTTTATCTTTGACTTTAAAAAATATAAAAATATCTCATTTTAAGGTATTTTTAAAGAAATGCTAAATATCCCCAAATTTTTTGCTTGTAGTATGTATTCTAGAGATGTTACAGATGTGTCAGTATATTATCATAGTTTGGCTTTTTCAATGAACATTTACTGCAGGCCTGTTGATGGCTCCTACAGGAAATATTCATGATCTACTACAGTAGCTGCAAAAGAAGATCTGGTAAATGAAAGGAGTCTGGGTTTTATGGCATTCTATTTTTTTCATAGATGAGGACTATTGGAATTTCTCAGACCTGTTCAATGAAGATTTTTAAGGTAGTGGTATACCATTTACATCTTTGTGCAGTTTGTTAAACCAAGGGTTTACTTGTATGGAGTAGTGAAAGGGGAAAAATGGAAGTTTTTTTTGTTGGAGCTACATTTTAGGAAGAAGGATTTATGTCCATATCATGTTGAAATACTGATTCTTGTATGATCATCAAAGTTAAGAATGTTGGGCAGAGTCAGTACCTAGATGAGTAACTGCTTGGGAAAACCATGTGCTGTAATCTTGGATATACAGGTGACATAATGGATAATGGCTTGGAATTGGAAATCAGAGAGCCAAGTTCCAATTCTGGTCAGGTTTGTTATATTCATTTATGCACAATATCCTTGGAAAGTTATGAATCCACTGCTTCTTCCCCTGGTATGGGTTAATTAGTAGTATTTGTAATCATTATTATCCCCCTGCCAAATTCTTACACTTTAAAATATTTTCTGGCTATAAATAACCTACAAAAATTTGATAAGCCATAAAACAAATCAATCCTATTATGCTAGCTCATTTTTTTAATCACTTCACCCCAAGCAAGGCAATAAAGCCACTAAGATGCATTAGAATTATTACACAATAATCAATATATATTGAAACAATTAGGTACTCATCAAATAATTCTATTTTTACCATTAATTTTTATTAAAAAGAAGAGGAAGTAGCAACAAAGAATTTAAATGATAAAATAAAAGAAACAAAAGTGAAATGTTTTTCTTTTTAATCAGTTCATCTCAAACAAGGCAATAAAGCCACCAAGATGCAAGGAGTTACTGAGAGTGAAAGAATCTAAGAAAAAAACATTATTAAGAAGCGAGGACAATAAAAGAACAGGAATTAAGGAGAGATAAGATAATGATTGACATTGATTTTCCAAAATTTAAATGCTAAGTTGAGCAGAGAGCAAGAATCCAAAAGAGTTGCACAAGCAGGAAGTACAAGGAAAGAAACTCTTAGAATAGAACTTATGGCTACACTTAACAATTTCAACTGTAAGCTGCCAATCTAGTACTGTGATTAAATTCATAAAGTGTATACGATGCATGCAAACATTTTCAGAATTATTTATTGAAAAAAAAAGAAAAAAAAAAAGAAGATTATTACAAAAAAGAAGATGCTGATATGTTTTGCACACGCTTAACATTTTTTTTTTAATCATTTCACCACAATCAAGGCAATAAAGCTACTAAGATGCAAGGGGATTACTAAGTGTTAGAAATTATGAGAAAAGAATATGATTAAAGAGAGAGAACAATAAAAGAAGAGGAATTAAGAAAACAGAAGTCAATGGTTGATATTGTGTTTAAATTTTTGAAGATCAAAGTTGATTCAGAAGCAAGAATCCAGAAGAGAGATCCATAAGTGAAAAGTGCAATAGAAGAAACTTTTAGCATTGAACTTATATGCAATCTCAACTGTAAAATGAGACCTTACTGCCAAACTAGTACTGTGTTTTAAAATTTGTAAAGTTGAGGTACTAAAGAGGAAAGCTCATCAGAACAATTACCCTGAAAATATTTATAGAAAAGGCAGAAGGAAGCTACATTAAGGTGGTGGGAAAGTGACTGAAGCTGAGATGTCAGGTCAGGACTAATAATATTTGTCACTATTATTTTCCATTTGATACCATTTCCGGTAACATGTCAGACGTGCTGGAAGCATGAAGGATATTGGCACAGAAAGTGGAATCGGTAAGTAGAGTTCAAATTTAAATCTAGTTTGTTGTATTCCCTTTTGCACAACTGCCCTTAGGAAAATCATGAATCTGTCATTTCTACCCCCAGTTATGGGTTAAATAACAGGGTAGGCCTGGTTCTCTAGATTTGGATGGCAACCAGTCTAAGAGAAGGAAAACTCTGAATTCAAAATCATAGAGAAGGCAATGGGGAAACACATCAACTCTCTTTCTCAAGAAGACATGGTAATTCACAGATAATAAAGAAAAGTAATTTGTGGAAAGCCATGATCATCTACATCCTAAAGTGACATTGCATTTTTAAAAAAAGGGTGGGGGGGGGACAAAAAAAAAGAAGAGACAGAGTCATTTTTTTTTTCTTCTAAATTTTACAGCAGAAGAAAGCCAAAGAGTAGATCAGCCAAAATGTTGTGGTAACAGCAACAGAAGCAATGAAAAAAATAAATTTGATAATGCAAACAACAATCAGAATAATCTCAAATTTCCGGAAGGTAAAGTGTATTTCATAAACTACATTTAAAATAGCAAGACTTGTAATACACTATATCAAGTGATTGGATCTTGTTCACTGACACATCTACAACAAAGGTGAAACCAACCTACTTTTACACTATTTATATTCTATTTTTCTTGTGCTGAAGTAATTTGTAAATATGAAAAGATAGACAATGTTGACCAAAAAAGGTTTTAGTTTTATCCCAACAATTATCATGTGGAATTTCCTCCTGCTATAAACTCATGTCTTTTTTTTGTTTTTATTTTTAAAAGAATTTCTGTTAGTGTGAGTCTTTTTCTTTAGGTTAGTACATCCATATGAGTGACCACACTGCTAAAGGATGGGTCTTTTTATTAAAGCACCATCTCTAGATGGCCAACCAAGGCTAAAGTGCTTTATCTGCTTATTTGGTGAGGATTTCATAAATAATTTTTCAATGAATTTCAATCATTGTGAGTTTCTTTTTCTTTAGGCTGGTACATCCATATGAGTTGCCACACTGCTGGAGGATGGGTCTTTTATTGAAAGGTTGCCAACCATGGCTGAAGAGCTTCTATCTGTACATTAGGTGAGGATTTGTGACTTCATACAAGCACAATCATTTATGACTCCCAAAGAATTTAGTCTACCTATTTTTACTCACAATGCTTGAGGTTAACTTGTGGCATGATGTTCAGGCACTTCCCAATGGTTATACACACTGGGATGATCTGCCCAGGCCAATATTATCAAGCAGTCATCCTCTTGACAAATTTACCATTGTGAGATTCAAACCCAGGTTTCATGGTCAGAATACTAACACCTTAACTACTTGGCTACATGCCCATCTCATCCCAAAAAGACTTTCATTTTACTGCATCATATAATTTTCTTAATATTTTGTAATATTATTAATGTTCTATAAAAGCAATCAATATAAGAAAAACTGCAAAGATAATTACCATTTTATTCCAAAGTTGGTCAGAGGTTGCATCAAATTATCTGAAAATATATATTTTAAAGAAATTATCAATTTTTATTTTGTCCATTTACAGAATCCATCTTACACATTTATAAATCTACCATTTGTCCATGAATTGAATACTGTTGCCATACATGTACATCTTGTGATTCTTGACAAAATCCACAGAAAGATTTGTAATGTAACTGATCCTGACCAGCCATCTCAACTTCAGTCACTTTCTCACTGATGTGATGTGGCTTCCCTCTGTCTTTTTTACAAATATTTTCATGGTAACTGCTCTAATGAGCTTTTTACCCTGGTGCCTGGACTACATGAATTTAAGTGTGCTACTAGATTGGCATCTAGGTCTCACAGTTTTACTAGTTAGATGCAACTTTTTACTTCTACTCTAAAAGTTTTTCCTCGCACTTCCTACCTGTGGAACTCCCTTCCGATTTCTTACTTCCTGTTAACTACAATTTTCAAAAATTTAAATGCAACGTCAAATGCCATCTGCTGTCTTCTTGAACCCTGTTCCTTTTTTTGTCCTTTCTTCAATCCTCCTTATTTTCAATCTTTTTTTTCACTCCCGGTAAAACTGCATTCTTGCAGCATTGTTGCCTTGCTTGTGGTGAAATGATTAAAAAAAATTAAAAAAAATTAAAATTAGAAATTTTAAAAAAATTAGAAATTATTAAATGATTAAAAATTAAATTAAAAATGATTAAAAAAATTCCAATGTTTTTATTTCCTGTTTACTCAATGGTCACATAGAAAAAACAATCTGATTGATGCAAAAAAAAAAAAAAAACATGAAAGAGAAAAAAAATACTAGTAAAAGTTGTTGTTGCTAATAATAAAAGTAACAGACAATAATAATTGTAGTAGTAATAGTACTAATAACAACAACAATAATGCTTTATTTAATATATTTGGAGAACTTTATAGTCACCATTATAATTCATACTTGATCAACACCAATTGTAATAATAGTGTTGGTAATCTCTCTCTTTATATGCCATTTCCCCTCAAGACATACGTGATCATGGCTCTCCACAACTTCTTGTCCCTTGCAGCTCTAAATAAATTGTCTTTTCATTATTTCTGAACCCTGTTCCAACATTCATTTTCTCAAGCTTGTCAAGTATGTTGTGTTGTTTTCCTCTGTTCCTCTTTCCCTCAATCTGTCCTGTGAGTATCAGATTTTCCAAGCTCTCTTTCCTCACTATGTCCCCAGAAACATCAATTGTTTCTTCCTGGTGTTAAGTATAAGTTTCCTTTTCGTTTCCATTTTCTCTAAAACTTCATTGTGCTTGCATGTTCAGTCCATGGTATCCTCAGCATCCTTCTGTAGAACCACATTTCTGTTGCTTCACATCTCTTCTTAATCTTTGTGGAAATTCACTGCCATATAGTAGAACCGATATCATATAGAAGTTCAGTACTCAACCATGCACAAAAATTTAAATATCTGGGAAGTGTGTTGGTAATATGATCTTAAAAAAACTATTTTGATGTAAGGCAACCTGAATAACTTTAGTGCAGTGTTTCCCAATGTGGGCACTAGTACCCACTTGTGAGCTCTGTTAGGTTGAAAGGGGGCACTGGGAGTTTTTATTTTATTTGGTGGTGGTGGTGGGGGAGTGAACATACTCAGGTGGGCATTTATCCATGTTTTTTTTTCAAAAATTATTCATTATTGGCTACAGAAGGAAATTTCTGAAAGCTATGTAAATCTGTGGAAAGCTATCAAACTTTTCTTCATTTCTTTTCCAACTTCCTATATGGCTGAATGTGGTTTATAATGCTGTTAAACAGCTTATTACTAAACAAAGAAATCACCTGCAAATTATCAGGTCATCCCATAAGTTCTGTCCGAATTTTGAATAAAGAAAACAAGTGACCAAATGTTACAATTACAAATTCAATCAACAATGTATTTTCCCTGATTATCTATGACTTCCTTCCATCTATTAACAAGCTTACTAATTCCATTACTGTAAAATTCTTTTGGCTTTGATTCAAAGAACTCACAAATGTCAGTTTTAACCTCTTCCTATGTTACAAAAGCTGTTTCTTCCAAATGATTCTGTAAGCTACGAAACAAATGGTTCTCTGAAGGAGCAAGATCGGGAGAATAAGGTGGATAAGGAATTTTCTCCCAACCAAGTTCTTCGATCTTTTGTGATGTGATTCTTGCTGTGTGGGGTTGCACATTGTCCTGATGAAACATCACCCCTTTTCGATTCACTAGGGTAGGTCTTTTTTTCCTCAAAGCTTGGTTCAAACGCTCTAATTGCTGACAGTATATTTGAGCATTAATTGTTGCATTAGGTGGTAAGAATTCAAAGTGGATTATTCCTTGGTGATCCCACCAGATTGAAAGAAGAACCTTTTGCCCATGAAGTTCCCTTCTCGGCTGTGGCTGGGGTCCTTCCCCTTTATCAAGCCACTGTCTATGACGCTTAACATTTCGATAAAAGATCCACTTTTTGTCGCCAGTCACAAGTCTATCCAAAAAATGTGAAACAAGTTGGCGAGAATGGAGAGAAGAGCAGATATCAACTCGGGATTTGAGGTTGTTTTCAGACAATTCATGAGGCACCCATTTTCCAAGTTTAGGAACTTTTCCAAGTTGTTGAAGATGACGATGAACACTTGTATGGTTTGAACTGAGAACCACTGCCAATTCCTCAACTGATAAAGCAGGATTTTCTTCAAGGGCTGCTTCAAGAAGCTTTTCATCAAACTCAACTGGATGTCCGGTTTGATCTTCATCTTCAAGGGTGAAATCTCCACCTCTGAATTTTGCAAACCATCTTCTGCAAGTTCTTTCATTCACACATTCCTCTCCATAAACTGAGTGAATGTTTCTAGTCGCTTCAGCTGCTGAGTTTCCTTTCTTGAACTCATAAAGCATTATGTGCCTCAAATGATTTTTGGGTACTTCCATGTTAGCAGGGTTTTAATCAAACAAAATTTAATTTTATTGTTCTCTGAAATAAAATTTGATCAGTTTAAATGCATCTAAACATAAAAATAATGTTCAGCTCCATTAGACATTATAAAATACTCTTTAAATTTCGTTCATTTTAACAAAAAGTTAAAATTCGGACAAAACTTATGGGATGACCTGATACAAAATGAGGATATCTATGATTACTTCTAAGCATCATGGAATCTAGAGTAAAAGCCTTGGCAAGTAAGCACCAAAGTCAACGATCACACTGAAAACATTGAGTTAAGTTATCAAATAAAAGTTTGTTTTGTTTTTTTTTTTGTATTTTGATTTATGGCATTTATAATAGGAATTAAAACAATATTAAAATTATCTTTGTACTAGCACCTTAGTGCTATCTTGCTATGAAAGCTGAATTCAGTATAATATTCAAAATTTAATTTGATGGGGGGGGGGTGGCAAGAAAGTTTGTGCCCAAATGGGTCACTGGTTGAAAAAAGGTTGGGAAACACTGCTTTAGAGTAAGTATTTAATGAAGTAATAATTTAATCATCTAAGTTTAAATTATTTTTGGTACAAGGCTACAAATATGGTCCACGCAGCGAATATTGATCTCACTACTAAGTTGTAATGTACAAAATTAGCTTGCTAATCATTACCTCATGGAAATTCAACCAAACAGCTGATGAAGCAAAGGAGATAAATTTTGTAGCAATGCAGATTTTAATATTTGCTGTAATTCAAAATTTTGTTTTAATATTTACAGTATAGATTTATATGAAATGAAAATAAAATTGTTTTGAGCTGAACCAATTAGCGAAAATGGATGGATTTCCAGCAATGTATCATTCAATTATTTTTTATTCTTAATATTCCATGTGAAGGTATATGAACTATGAATGTGATAAAAAACAATAAAATAAAGAAAATTAGTAAGAAAAAAAATTAATCACAGAATTTAAACAATTCCAGATTCTTTTTAAATTTGAACCAAATATTTTCATGAAGTAGTTATTCATTATTTTTATATTTTTTTTTATATTCTTGCTTTGTAAACCTGTGTAAATATATGTAATATATAGTAGATAAGATATAAGACCCATTTTTCTTTCCAAAATATTAAAATATCAAAATTTGTAATAAATACACAAAAAGAAACTTGTTTTCACATGAACCAAATTTGAAATATGGCTAAAGTTCTAGTAACATTTATTGTATCATTTAACAATTTTTTCTTAATACTCCATTAGTACTGTGTGGTATTGCCACAGTATTAGTACTGTGCGGTATTGCCACAGTATTAGTACTGTGGGGTTTTCAAACAAAGATATACATTTAGTTCTAAATTTTGCTTGTTATATATTAAGCATTATTTACGAATTTTATAGGATAAATAAAAATGAAAGGAAACAAAAGGTTTTATTTATAATGTGAATTAAAAGATCAATATTAAAAAATAAATTTAAGTTTAAAAAATTAAAGTAAAAATAGGCTTCATTTTTTTTTTTCAGTATAATCTTTTAAAACAATTTATGGTCAATGTGACTCCCTTTTAACAAGTTTTTCACATTTCAAGCAATAAACAAAAAAGTTATTGTGTTTGTTTCTGAAAAAATGAAAACGATTGGGCTTTTTTTTTTTAAATCATTTCACCCCTAACAAAGCAATAAATCCACTAAGATGCAAGGGATTACTGAATGAATTACTGTGAATGAATATAAGAAAAAGCAAATGTTATTAAAGAAAGAGAACAATAAAAAACAGAAATTAAGACAAGATAACTATTGACATTGCATTTAATTTTTGAAGATCAAAATTGACTGGAAAGCAAGAGGCCAGAATAGAATTCCACGAGCAAGACATGTAAGAGAAGAAACTTTTAGCATAGAACTTGGTTATATCTAGCCATTTCAAACTGTAAAATGAGCTGCCAATCTAGTACTGCAGTTAAATTCATAAAGTCTAGATACCAAAGAAGAAAGCTCATTAAATCAATTACCATGAAAATATTTATAGAAAAGGCACAGGGAAAATACATTACAGCAGTGGGGAAAGTGACTGAAGCTGAGATGCCAGGTCAGGACCAATAACATTGCAGATTCTTCTTGGGATTTCATCAGGAATATTTAAATACATAGCAGAAGCATCAGAGCAGATGTGACAGTCATATTCAATACAGGGATGAATGGTAGACTTATAAATGTGTACAATAGATTCTGTCAAGAAAAATCTTTTTTTTTTTTTTTTATATATAGATATATATATATTCTTGCACAAAATTCTTTAACTTACTTGGTGTGAGTTCTGGTTCAGTATTTAAGTTCATCATACGAGGGATAGAAGGTCCAAAAATGTCAGCATCTAAAATTCCAACTGATATGTGCTAAAGAGAGAATATTAAATTCAAGAGTAAACAATCCTGTCTAGAAAACATTTTAATTAGACAATTATAAAAGTAGACATTGAAGTCAACACCCAGTGGCAACACTCTGTTTCATGTTTAAACACAATTGTAGGACCAAATGGGCAATAATTTAGAATTAAAAATCAGCAATTTGCTATCTATATTCAATTTGCTTTTTATATTCACATTAATCAAATTGAAAGAAGCAGATAACAGTCTTAATCACATTTTTTCCTGTATCCATAATCATGAGATAATGATATATAAATTTTTATATATCAATAACAATACTGGGTCAAAAAATGTAAGTGAAAAAAGTTTTTGTGTGATGCATTTTGTCCTTTAGTATTTCACACTAAATTTGTTATGTTGGGATGTTGAGAAATTTAAATTTAAAATTTAAATATGAAAAAAATTTTTTTTTAAAATCAGCTAGTATAAAAAAGAAAATATTTTTTAACTTAAAAAAAAGTTTTTAATTAAAAATTCACAGCATCCCTCATTTGTGTGCATAACATAAGAAATTTAGTCCAATGAAGTCCTAAAGGATGGAACACATCACATGAAAACTTTTTCCAGTCATACAGTATATATATATATATATATACTAGCAGTAGAGCCTGGCGTTGCCCGGGGATGTAACAGTAAGAGATAGATCAAGTATCCACCATCATAAAGACTGAAGAATAAAATTGACAAAGATTATTGTTTAAGGTTGACGGACACGCATGTCTTAATTAGTTTTTTTTGTTTTTTTTACGAATTGGTCAAACGGCAAACTCAAACAAAATCATTGTTTTCAATCGTTATGAGTCTCCCGATTGAATAGAATAATTTGATAAACAATTGTCTTGTAAATGGAATTTTTAAAGCATTCTGAATGTAAAAATAAAGAAAAAAGTGTGCAAGACAATAAGAAACAGTAAGTTTTGTTGAAATCGGTTGAAAAATGTAGGTAGCCTTTTGTAATCTTTTAGTTTTACAATTTATGATTTTTATTTATTGAATACAGTAAAAAAAATTGCATATTTTGCTTGTGGTGATTCATAATTAGAATTCTGATTTGAATATATTTTCCACTCGTTGTTTCTAATACAAAAAATATTAACTTTATTTGGGTTTATTAATTATGATCTAACAAATCTTATTCATTTTGTAGCCTTTCGGTAATAATAATCTTTTACAATTTATGATTTTTACTTATTGAATACAGTAAAAAATTGGACACCATGTGTATTTAAAAGTTTCCGTTCGGTTATTATTTTTAGTTAGGACTTGTGTATGTTTAGATTTCATTATCTTTCCCTAAAGATAAAGAATTTATTTCGATATTTGTATTCGTACAATCAGTAGAGATTGTTAGATTATTGTTTAAGGTTGACGGACACGCATGTCCTAATTAGTTTTTATTTTTTTTATTTTTTACGAATTGGTCAAATCCAAACTCAAACAAAAACATTGTTTTCAATCGTTATGAGTCTCCCAATTGAATAGAATTTTATTATAAATAATTGTCTTGTAAATGGAATTTTTAAAGCATTCTGAATATTAAAAATAAAGAAAAAAGTGTGCAAGAGAATAAGAAACACTACCTGCCAAAAAAAAAAAAAAAAAAAAAAGTTTTGTTTTATCGGCTGAAAAATATAGGAAATCTGATGTGAGTTGTCCCCCTTCCATTTTCACGATGTCTCTTAATCGTGTTTTCAAATTGATTTTGTGCAAAACAATTATATTTTTCCCATTTTTGGCGCTGTTAGAACCACCACAAAGTAATTTTATGTAGTCCTGTGAAGTTTTGTTGAAATCGGTTGAAAAATGTAAGAAATCCGATCCAATATATAAAGTTACATACACACACACACACACACACACACAATCTGCGTTTTATAATAAGTAAGATATATATATATATAATACAATCTTATAACCTATAATGAAAATTCTTATTTCCTTTGATAAAATTCTTGAATATGTTTTTTTCATGGATAAACATTTAAACATTTTTTAACAAAACTTGTTGCTTAAAAAAAAGAGATCAGAAATCATAATGAATTTATGTAAAATATTTTGCTTTTACCATTTTAAAAATTTTATTGCAGTATTTTTTACAATCAAGATACCGTCATTGATGACCACAGAAAGAAAATATGGAAACAAAGTGGAAAAGTTTTTTTTAATGACAATGTGTTTTGCCTCCATGTTGTAGTTTGGCATCTTCAGGTCAGAATGAAAGACAAAACTGTGTACATTTTGTATTAAAACCATTAATATTTGTTTGTTAGGTGGGTTTCTTCTGGTTGAAAGGAAAGAACAAAACTACACGTTTTAATTAAAAAGCCTTTCCACTTTGTCTCATTTCTCCACTTTTGTTCAGATTCTGTATCTGACTAACACTTATGAACATGCAAGAAAAAAAAGTTGCAAATGAATGCAAAAACCATCAGACAGGTTGAATAAACTCATCATTAGAATTCTAATGAACAGAATCTGAAATAGAATTAGGTTAAAAATAGGTCTAGAAAAATGCGGCTTTAAGACACTGGCACAAGAAATGTCATTTCTAGAATCAATGTCACTATCAGAGTATGCAATACAAATACAGAAAGACCTGTTACACAAAGGCATTTGATAGGCACAACATGAAGAACTGCTTGAAATATTAGGAGAGCTTAATTTACATGGGAAAGATATTACAGCAATTAATGACTTTTACAGGGAGCAAACTGCTTGCATGTGAATAGTGAACAAGTTTAGTGAACATGCAAAAATAGAAAAGTAGTAATGAAAGGATGTATTTGCTCACTAGATTTATTGAATATATACAGTAAGATAATCCTAAAAGGAGTAGGAGACCTACCAGAATTTATTATTGGTGGACATAATCATAACAGCATAAAATATGCAGATGACAATGTGTTGATGAGGGACTCAAAAAGAAAATTAAATGAAAAGTAAAGACAAAAAAATATTAACAATAAAAATGCATGCTTGCAAGGAAAAGAGACAGTCAAGTTGCAAACTACATATTGGGGATGTCAAAATCAGGCAGATGCAGAAATTTGTCTGGCTAGTGTAGTAAGAGATGATGAAATGTGTGACGCAGAAATCCAAAGGTGCATAGGAATAGAGAAAAATACCTTTTAGAAACTAAATAATAAGTAATATCTAATCTCTTATATTACAGATGAAGAGACTTGAAATGTTGTTCTACAGACAAATGCTGATTAAGACATGAATAGAAAATGTGATTAACAAGAAATTTTAAGGAAAATAGAAACTATAAGAAAACTGATCTTAAAGAGACAGCTGAAATTTTCAGAACACAATGAAGAAAGAAGTTTTGGAGAATTTAACATTTGCAGGATACATTGAAGGCAAAAGATTTGAGGAGAAACTAAATAAATTACATGACAAGTTTCTGTAAATAGAGAAGAGAAAAAGGACAAAGAGTAGTAAAGAGACAAGAGGTACTCAAAGCAAGAAAAGAGAGGAAGATGTGGAGAGTTATGAGTAGGCCATAAACTTAAAGGACATGGCATATCAAAGAAGATTAAGCAAAATCTTAAAAAGAAGACAAGGGCTTTCAAGACTAAGACTGCTTTATGTAGTTATTTTTTGTTGATGAAAAATTGTTAAAACTTTATATTTTGTTATAAAAAAATCCCTCAAAATCTTAATTTGGACTTCTGATAAAATTGATCATTATATTTATGAATAAATATAATGATTATACTTTTGACTATTAAAGATATTAGAAGTCAAAAGCATAAAAGGAAGTTACAATGTTTAATGTGAAAAAAGTAAATAAAATTTCTCTCTAAAATTCAGTAGTGAGAAACTAACTTCAAAAGAAAATCTTATACAGTAATTAGATTTGTTAGTTTTAGAATGAGTGTGTGAATGTTTGAACAGTATTTTGGTTTTTACATTCAAAATGAATGAAGACTTGGTGAATGTCATTTAGGAAGATTTATTTTCTAAATTACAAATACAAACTTGTATCTTTGCTGTTGATGAGAGAGTTCATAGCTTACAGCACAGGCAACCATCCTAATAAGTTATTTGGAGGGTTGGAGTGGAATGGACCAGCCTGTCCCACTTTTTGGTGAAAGGATAGCAGACTGACCTATTCTTCCAGAGTTTATACTGAGTTTGGTAAGTGTGGGATTGTCTTTCACTTTGATACTGGGTCTTTGATCTTTTGTTTTCGCTTATCCAAGTATCTGATTTCAGAAATAAAGTTAGCTACTGACCTTTCCTTAAGAATACTGATGTTAATGAGATGTTAAGGAGATAAGTAGATGATACTTTTCAAGAGATTTATGAAATATTTTTATTTTATTTATTAAACTTTTATTACAAGTAAAACTTAAATTTTGTAATTATTAAACTATGCTACATAAACGAAGGGAAACAACTCAAATAGCCATTTACTAAATAAATCTTGGAATCAAATTCCCAAGCTTGAAGAATCCGGTGAGGATCAAATTCACTATAGACTGTGAGACTAGCTTCCTAAAGATTTTTCCACTATAAGGCATCCAAATATTTATGAAGATAAGCATATTCTGGTACAAGGCCATAATAATGAGATGCAACAAACTGAACAATTTAATTTAAATAAGACTTGTAACTGTTCAGATTCACAAGTCTTCATATCAAATAGATACAATATGTAGAAACACAAAACATCAGCAGCAGCTCATGCCTTGCCACCAAAGCTGGTCATGTGAGTTCACCCAAGCCCCCGTTGGAGACATTTATTTTTTTTAATCATTTCATCCCAAGCCAGGCAATAAGGCCACTAAGACACAAGAGGTAACGGAGTGTGAAAGAATAAGAAAAAGAAAAACATTATTAAGAGAGAGCAATAAAAGAAGAGGAATCAAGAACACAGTTGATAATGATTGACATTGCATTTAAATTTTTTAAGATCAAAGTTGGCTGGAAAGCAAAAAGTCAGGAAAGTTCCACAAGTGCAAGAAAAGTTATAAGTTACAGTTACATTTAGTCAATTCAACTGTAAAATAAGGAAACCTTGTTGCCAATCAAGTACTGTGCTTAAATTCATAAAGTCTTAGTACCATAGAGCTAAGTTCATCAGAACAATTACCATGAAAGTATTTATAGAAAAGGCATAGAGAAACTATATTATGGTGGTGAGAAAGTGGCTGAAGTTGGGATGCCAGGTCAGGACATTGCAGATTCTTATTTGGAATTTATCAAGAATCTCTAAATATATAGCAGGAGTGCCATCAATATTTGAAGCATGGACAAATGAGAGATTATAAATATGTAAGAAGGAGAACATGTATGCATAAGTTAAGATGATCTTTCCAGCTGTAAATTGTAATACTTAGTTAAATATAATCTGTCAGACTATGAAATTGCTTTAGGTTAGTTAGGGAGTAAATAGTACAAAAACTATGTCTGTAAGTACTATTATTTTGTAGACATTGTTTTTTGACCTGTTAGCTGTGTTGAATACATAGCTTGTTAGAGCTTTAAAAACAAACTTTTTTAGTCATTGTCCACATTTATATGTTTTGTCTTCAATTGGCTCTGAAGAGTGAGGAGTGATAACTGGTTAACCCTTTTTTGTTATATGTTTTCAATCCACCACTTTACAATAAGTAAATTTTTTTCTTATCTTTGCTCTTCCTCACCTTTTGTTTTATATGTTTGTATGTATATACACATACTTTTAAAATAACCATTTTAAAAGCCTTCATAAAATTTTGTACCTGCCCCCTCACAAAAAATTATTTAAATTAATGCCATGCTATAATCAACAATATAGTCAAAGTGCATTCAAACTACAATGAACCTCATTACAAAAACTTAACATATATAACCCATAAGTATAACAAGCCATCTAACTATAATTGCCAAAATGTCCCTGGCCAGATATAAGAGATGAACATGCAAGAATCTTACTTATTATAAAACAGAGATTGTGTGTGTGTGTGTCTGTACGTTTATATATTGGATAAGATTTCCTACATTTTTCAACCGATTTCAACAAAACTTCACAGGACTGCATAAAATTACCTTGCGGTGGTTCTGACAGCGCCCAAAATTGGAAAAAAAAAAATTGTTTTTGCACAAAATCAATTTGACTCATATCGAGTTACACAAACAACCTTGGTTTTATAATAACTATATGTGTGTGTTCCTTTATATATGGGATCGGATTTCCTACATTTTTAAACCGATTTCAACAAAATTTCACTTTTTGGGGGCGGGGGGCAGGTAGTGTTTCTTATTGTCTTGCACACTTTTTTCTTTTAATTTTACATTCAGAATGTACAAGACAATTGTTTATAATAAAATTCTATTCAATCGATAGACTCATAACGATTGAAAACAATAATATTTGTTTGAGCAAAAAAAAAAAAAAAAAACTAATTAAGACATGCGTGTCCGTCAACCTTAAACAATAATCTTTGTCAATTTTATTTTTCAGTCTTTATGATGGTCGATACTTGATCTATCTCTTACTGTTACATCCCCGGGCAACGCCAGGCTCTACTGCTAGTAGGATATAAAAAATTCTATATATATCAGAACAATGTGACCAGTTGAATGACAAAATTGAAAAGAAATTGTTTTTTGTCCTTTAAAAGGACATTAGACTAAAATAAAGTTCTTATTAATGGGAAAGTTATATATATATATATATATATATATATATATATATAACTATTATGCAAGATTTACAAATGGTAGCAATTCAGCCTGTAGGTGACTTGGTTTTGCTGATATAACTTGTGAATCAGATTATTTTTTTTTATAATCTTGTAAATAAACATTGTAAAAGGAGTCAAAAGTGTATGCAGTAATATCAACGTCAAAGGAATAACTGTCCTTTTGACATATAATTTTTTTTTGCAGGTATAAAGGTTAAACAATGCCAAATATTTCATCACTTCCTCCAGGAAGGAATGCATGTTCTTATTTAGACATTGAGAGGATTATACTGAAAACAAAAATTGAAAAGTAACTGAACATTATTTTTTTTTCAATCATTAAAATCTATTTACTTTAATCTCATTAACCATGATAATACTTTCTTAAATTTTTAAGATTACTGAGTACTTAAAAGGCGCTTGCATTATATTCTTCAATTTTTTTTTTTACAGATAAAGCTGCTGTAGAACAACATTAGATAAAAATGTCATTGTGCTGTCACAGAGTTGTTAAAAAGCTTTCAACATAAATCAACAGCTATTGCTATATCAAAAAATATTTATTGGAAATATTAAATTTATGTACATTTTTATTATTGATGATTATTTTTACTATTGTACATTTTTATTATTGATTATTATTTTTATAATTATATATTAATGTTTTTCACTAATATTTATTGGAAATATTAAATTTAATCTCCCAGTTTGAAATTAAAACTGAAATAAAAGCTTCAATAAAAATTCATCTTAAACCTTAGATATCATGAATCTGTGGAGGTACCTACATTAAATGCATAATAATATTCAAATATTGTTTGGAAAAATGTCCTCTTACAGACAAGCAAATATTGTGACACAAAATACTTACTGGATCAACAGCTGAAAGACCGAGTGCCAAGTTAACTGAAAAATAGCAAATTTAACATATACTAGCATTTTACTTTTATACTATGATAGACTTTTAATCAAGTATTAATATGTAATAATGTGTACAAAGGAATTTAATCAAAGAATTACATTTGTGCTAATTTTGGAATTAAAAATATTACCTGAAATTTTCAGATGAATCATTATTATTCCACAAGAGATTTGGACTAATATCATCATCTTTGTTGGGTTAGGGTTTTATCATTACATTTTAGTCAATGTATTCTTCAGCTTTTCCCATTGTCTATAATTCCCAGATGAGTTATTATCATTATTTCACAAGATGTTTGGACTAATATCCTCATCCTTGTTGCTTTGATCACTACTTTTTGGCGAATGTGTTCTTCAGCCTTTCTCATTGTCCAAAATTCTCAGATGAAGTATTATCATTATTCCACAAGATGGTTGGACTAATATCCTCATCCTTGTTGCTTTTATTATTACATTTTAGTCAATGTGTTCTTCAGCCTTTTTCATTGTAATTCTCAGATGAGTCATTATCATTATTACACAAGATGTTTGGACTAATATGCTTTTTGTTGCCAATTTTATTCTGTTTCATTAAAACTTTCATAGAACTCCATCTCTCACTCACCCATCCTAAGGAAGGTTGGCATAAATGTAGTAATAAAGATCAACATTGATAGGAATGTTATTTTGAACAATTCATAAAATTTAGTAATAAAATGAACAAAGATAAGAACATCTGTCTAAGCATTTAATGTCTCATAGAATTTCATGCAATGAAGGAAACCAAAGAATGTTTCAGCCTAAATGTTCTGATAAAACCAACAAGGAGCATATCAAATGCAAACAATTGGTATTACAAAAACCTATCATTGTCAATTCATTCTGAGCACCATACAAGTGAGGATCCTTACCAGCTGTTGTTGATTTACCAACTCCTCCCTTGCCAGAAGCAACTGCAATCACATGCTTCACTCCATCAATTGGTTTTCTTTTAGGAAGTCCTCGGGCCATTCTTTGCCGTCGCATTTCCTCAAGTTTTTCTGCTGTAGCATCTTTGGCATTCTGAAAAGAAAAAGAAAAACATTAGAAAATATTCATATAATACCAGATATCAGAAGCAGTGAAAAGATATTCAGAAAAATTTCCAAGACACAAATAATATTGTATTTCATAACATCTATAATAACTAAGATGAGAGCAATATTTTGAATTAAAGCATTTCTCATTTTAAAAATGATGAAAATCAGTATGATGGACCTGCCATGGTAACCAAATGTTGAAACCATCTGATATTGAATATAAAGGCTGAAAAAATACACCATTGATGTCCTTCACGATGGTGGCATACTGAATATACCAGTTGATTAAGCATGTTAATATTCAGTTTTTGTAAGACTAATCTCCGGATCGGTAGTAAAACAATATACAATTCAGTAAGAACAAACAAGAACTGGTATCACGGGGTCAAAATAAAACAAAAATCAATAAATATCCAAAATCAGCCCCAAATAATAGACACTTGAAGATGGCCAAAATGTACTTGGCTGAAACATTGTGCCTATAATGATATTTATAATAATCAAGGCACTTAAGTTTGATTGGAAATATTGGTCATCCAACCATGTCATAAACATTCCTTTTGCAAATCTTCATACATTTCAAGCTTAGGTTGATAAGTTCAATAACCATTTTTATAAAAAAAAAAAAAACATTTATTCTATATGGCCTTTATATATAATCACCATCCGAATTTTCTCACTCTTGAAAGAGAAAGCCCTCCTAATATCCCACAGATATTAGTGCCTATCATCTGGTTCACACTGTTCCTTGGTCTTTTGAACAGGAATAGTAGTTTATCCCTTGTTTCCTGTTTAGGATTGGGTTTCCAGTTCACTCTAAAATCTTTTCCTTTTCTTTCACTTCCGGTGGCCTCTTGCATCTTGGTGAAATTATCAGCTTACTTGGGGTAGTAACTATTACTGTGTAACCCTCTACCTCGAGCGGCTCTTGAGCCTTGTACAGGGTGAATATCATTCTAAAAAACATAAAAAATAAAAGGTAATGTTACACTTGTCCTGTAGTTTAGTAAGAGGTTTTTGTTAGGGACATTCCCAAACTGGAGTATTCAATTTTGTATCTATAACTGGGGTAGAAGTGGATCCCATTGTTGATTTTGAATTTTGAATTGTCCTTCTCCTAGACCAACCAAGGCTAGAGAACCCTGTCAGCCTTGCTATTTTACCCATATTTTGAAAGGTGTAGAATAGTTTTTAGTTTTAAGTGAACACAAAATGTCTCAGCTGGAATCTGAATTTTTCCCACCAATTCTATATTTCAAGCCATGAATAATTTGGTCACTTTCATCTAGCAATGATCTTATTTCTTTGGTCATAACCAAGAAACTTAGTGACAAGGTAATGAAGACATATTCAAGGAATGTTTGATAAATTGGTAACAAAAACTAAAAAAAAATGGATAAGATTCTTTTGTTTGAAAAACTAATTGTATACTAAGTTTCACTTTGGCCTGACCAAGAAACCCATCAAAAAAAAAAAAAAAAAAAATGCATACACACACACACACATATATATATATATATATATATATATATATAAATGTATAATATATATAGATGTTAAAAAGAAATCTGATGTTTGGCCATTTGGCTAATTTTTGGGAAGTGAGTTGGGTTGAGAACTTTTCACTCTCACTTTTATATGCTGTGCCCCTTCAGGACATAGGTGTGTTACAGAATGCAAAGACCAGGGGCAGAATGGTCAGTGATTGGCCAGAGTACTCTGACAGTGATGGATTCCCTTTGTCTGGATTTTGAATTGTTGTAGAGTAGTTTCTCAGTGGAGGCTTGTCGGTCCTAAATTAGGTTCGACGTACAAAACGTTAGGAACTTGATATAATAGGTAATGACGCAGAGAAATCTAGTGGTGGTCGCTGATACTTTTAGTATCCGACTAACGGTCATCCGACATCGACTGACTGATCAACTTCCTGAGCCACTGGCGACTGCTACTACTCCTACTTATTATAGGTGGGCGAGTCTATTAACAATAGAATAGGTGTGTTCCACTATAACATGAATATAAGTTCAAATTGGCACAAATTCAACAGAGGGTCTCAAGAATTCTGAAGAGTTGATATGCCTCCCACATCCAGGTTTCCAACTGGCTAACACTCTCCACAGAGGAATGCTGAGCTCAATGTGCAACATGCGTTCCTGTGATGTCATTTCTCCTACTCACTCTTAGAATGTAAGCTGCCACCCTTAATAAAACAAATACCGAAAATGAATGACCTTTTTCATTGATACCATTTTTGTCTAGTAGCATGAGGGATCCAGAGACTACACAGTCTTGCAACAAGGCAATCATAACTCTCCACATCTTCCTGTCCCTTGTAGCTCTTAATAAATTTTGTCCTTTTGTTATTTCTCCCCAACCTTGTTCTGTCATCCATTTGCTCAAGCTCATCAAGTATGTTATGCACTGCTTTATTGCCCTCTTTCCATAAATCTGTCCTGTGAGTATCATGATTTCCCAGCCCTCCTTACATGCCCCAGGAACCTCAACTGCCTTTTCTCGATGTTAAATGTAAGTTTCCTTTTTGTTTCCATTTTCTTTAAAACCTTTGTTGTTGCCCACGTGTTCAGTCCATGTTATCCTCAGTATCTTTCTGTAGAACCACATTTCTGTTACTTCAAGTTTCTTCTTCATCTTTGAAGAGATCGTCTGGCATTTGCTGCCATCAGTACTTATCATATAAGCAAGATTTTTTTTTTCATATTTTCTGAATAAAAGGTTTGATTCAAAATTCTAAGAAGATTAATAAGTACAAAGACTGTTAAACATTGTGAGCAATTACAACCAAGACATGCTTGTCCTAATCCTGAACAAAAAGTCAACATCCTCTATCAAGTGTTCCAAGAAATAGACCTTTCCAAAACAGGAACTATTGGGATGAAAGCAGTGATGGCAGCTACTCTGAATCCATCATAAGCATTCAGAATGTGGAATTAATAAATATGAAACACTTCAATGTATGAAATGGTTATAACAGATTGAGTATATAAGAAAAAGAAACTGAACATAGAATAGGTTGTGCCAGAGGTAATTTTGCCCAACACTGCAAATGGCTACAAAACCAAAAAAAATCAACCTGAAAACTCGTCATATTCTTAAATAGCCTTGTCAGATCAAGACTTTCATATGAAGTCATTCATGGCATCAAACCCATTGAGAAATATCTAAACTGTCAGATGTATACAACCACTTCTTAAGATCAATAATGAAAAAAGGCTTTGAGCGAGTGAAGCCTGAGGATCTTGGCAAAAATCATCCTTCTTTGAACATTGTGGACTGGCACTACAGAATCATGAACAAAGAACTGTATTAAATGACACAAACCACATCACTTGAGGACTACCAACAGCAGTAACAACTAAAATGTATAGCACATGTAATGTTGACATTCCACACTACTTTAAACAAAAGGTTAGGAAGGAAACCCCAACCAGGACTGGAAAGAGTAATAACAGCTAAAATGGATAGCACTTGTAACTCAAAGAGAAAATAATGATATAATCAAGATGTTGGCATTCCATCCCACTTCAAATAGAAAGTTCATAAGGAAACCCACATTAGTACTGGAAAGAAGAGCTACTGGACTTGAGAAACCAGTTTTCCCAAAAAAGTGTTTTATGAGAAAGATTTTTATAAATTTCAACAGAAAACAGTACTGGATGCTCGCTCTATGAATGCCAAAAAAAGGTTTCCTTACAGGGAAACAGCTAATATTTCCATTAATAACAAAAAGCATATACAAAATTTTTATACATAAAAAAAAACATAACTTATACTTCCTAAATCAAAATGATGCAGTAGTGAGTAACATTGTTTGGAATCGTGAATAAACAAATAAATCGAATGAATTAGGTAGGTACCTCCACAGATTCGCTAAAAAATGTCCCAAACTGACTTTTATTGCCAAAATCTTATTGTTAATGAAAAAAAAAAAAAAAAAAAAGCTTAAAGAAAGATTTTTCATTTTTAAAAATTCATTTTTTAAACCTTAGTTATTGCGTTTCTGTGAAGATACCTAAAACTAAAAAAGATCGGAACTTTTGTTAACTAACATATCATTGACAGGGAAACAGAAAAGTTTTAAAACACAAAGAAATAAATATTGGGTTGTAAATAAATGGGTAAGTTGGAAAATTCGAAAATGTAATAAACGTGACGGTTTGAAAAAGTGAGAAAATCGAATGAACGGGTAGGGGTCAATAAACTGGTTGTTTAGAAAATTATTAAAAAGAAGTTTTTCAAACGATAAAACCTCGAAATGAAATAGGAACAATAAAAAAAAAACGTATGATCGGACACGCTAAGGAAAATTAATAGAGATTTATCGCTCGCTTACAAACTAACTTAAAAACGAAAGAATTGAATTTTTAAAAATGTGACAGAAAAAAGTCACAATTTTGTCTAGGGAAAAAAGCCAATTGAATTAAGTAAAGTTATCTATTTTTGTCGGGCACTTCACGAGTTTATGAGTCCATTTCGTTTGCAACAGAAATTCATAAATCGATATTCTCTTTCTAAAAAACGTTTTCTGACAATGCCACGGTCACATATTCGATATACAATTTTCATAGTTAGGAAGTCCTAGAATCCCATACTTTGTGTGAAGAAAGTCTCAATCTGACATTAATTTGAATTAAAAAGTTCTTTGAATTTTCAATTTATTTAGGAGACAGGGATTTTGTCCACTTTTGGAACAAAAGGCTGAAATTTTGTCCGCTTTGTGCTCACCTTTGCTTTTTTTTTCCGTGGCTACTTTCTCTTTTTTTTTTTTTTTTACCTGGATTTGAATTAAATTCCTATATAGCGGTATCAGTTTTATTTTTTATTATTTGAAGATAATTGATTTGTATATCTCAATGTCTTTTAAGTAACATGCTTTAATAAAATCGAAAATATTTCCATGAAGTCTTGCCATAATGTTAAAGAAATGTTCATAAAAAGTTAAAAAATTAAATCTAAAACATTTTGATTCTAAAAATGTGTTTTGTTTTGGGACGCTTATTTGGTACCCGAAAGTAAGTGTCTTCTTCTTAGTTCTTCACATATGAATGTCAATGATACCATATTTCAGTTTCAGACAATCCAGCCATGATTATGATAAGTAAACACTAAACAGACATCATCTTACCATTTTTTGTCCTTAACACAATAACTGATGTTCTACAATATTTAGCCTTGTACCAGGTTAAGCTAAATTTTAAAATTTAAAAAAATACATGTCAAAGAACATTAAATCTTATAAAAATAATTATTTCAATTAAAAGATATGTTAGTACAATATTGGCACCTATTTCTTAAATTTAGGACTTACAAGAAAGCTACTGTGAAAGAATAGCCGATGATGGTGACGACTGGTTGCCGATATCCGAAACATGTTTACAATTTGGCGAAGGGCACATGTTTTCATGGAGATAGCCATTTTGAAAATGCCGGTGTTATTTCCCTTGAACTGCACGGTTGAGATTCTGGACACTAAGAATAATCTCCCTTGCAAATGCACAGTTGGAAAATTTTGCAATAATAATAATAATTTTTCCTCTTTTTTAAGAACTGTTTTCTTACTTTGAAAATAAAAGTACCCCCTTTTGAAGGTGTATTACTTAAACTTTCAACAAGAAATATTTCTTTTGGAAAATTTAAATACTCCAGTTAAATGAATAATAATGCCTCCTGTATGGCAGTAAAATTCTGGACAATATCTTCACAGGTCTTGATGACAATAAAATGAAAAAATGGTCAATATATTCATACATGAAGGCTAAAAAAGTAACATATATTTACACCCATGCTAGAGGTTGATATATGAGCCCAGGTTAAAGGCAGAATTTCAAATGCTTGGAATAGCAAAAGATGCCTTCCAAAAGTTAAGCAAACTATTAAGAAACAAGAAAATTTCCTTAGAAACAAAGAGAAGAGTACCAGAATTTTATGCAGTATTGATCACTCTATATGGTAGTGAATGCTGGACATTCTCCTCACAGATGAAGAAGAGACTTGAGGCAACAGAAATGGAGTTCTAAAGAAGGATGCTGTGAATACCATGAACTGAACATGTAAGCAATGATGAAATTTTAGAGAAATTGGAAACAAAAAGAACACTTATATTTAACATCAGGAAGATATAGTCAAAAGTTTTAGGGCCCATAATGAGGAAAGAGGGCTTGGAAAATTTAATACTTGCAGGACAGATTGAATGAAAGAGAGAGAGAGAGAGAGAGGTGGGGAAACAACACATAACCTACCTAGCAAGCTTGAATAAATGGATAGTGGAAAAAGTTTTCGGAGCGATGCTAAAAAGAAAAACATTATTAAGAGCTACATAGAACAGGAAAGTGACACAGCACATAGAAGAAGAAAAAGAATTAAGTGAAAAAAAGTTTTTCTTTCAGTGTTTCATTTTTTACATTAAAAAAATAAATTTATTTTCTACCACAGCTGTATATTAAGATGATAATTACAACATTTAACATGGTAAGCCTGAAAACACAATTTTCCTTTCAAGTTTCTAAGAATCTATTTTTAATTTTTTCCTCAAAAATATTAATTATTAATGTCTACTAGTTTTGCTATGCTTTTAATTATTGCAACATTTAGGTAATATTTATTTTATACAAAAGTAGCATAGATTGAACATTATAGGATATTAACACCTATATTTTACATACATTAAGTGAAGGTCAAGCAAGTAAGAGATACCTACAAATAAATCTTACTAAAATCATATATATGAAAAAGCAAAAACAATATATAAATTTTTATATATCAAGAACAATTTTGCCACAAGGAACATATAGAAGAAAAATAAAAGATATGAACACAAAAGGGATCTTTTACAAAACAACACACTCAATGCATTAGTTGCTCACCATAATGAGTTTGACTATAATTTATAATGAATATTTACACATAAGCATATATGCAAAAACAATATATAAATTTTTATATATCAAGAATAATTTTTGCCACAAGGAATATATAGAAGAAAAATAAAAGATTATATGAACACAAAAGGTATCTTTTACAAAACAACACATTCAATGCATTAGTTGCTCACTGAAATGAGTCTGACCATAATTTTGATTTAAATAATCCTACTCTAATTAAAAGAGAAAGCTATTTATTAAGATGAAAATGTATAGAAACTGCTTTAATTATTAGATCATCCACAGTAAATTTACATCTTGGCTCTTACATTTCTTAGCAGATCTTTTATTATAGCAATGTGGATGTTTAATAATAGATGTGATGGAAAAATGAACCAAAAGAAAAATAAACTAAATGAAATCACCCAAAACATATATTAAAAAAATTTTAATTTTCGATTTTTCAGCAACACCTCTTCTTCATGCATATGTGTAGTCACATCAACATAAACATCACTTTAATCTGATGAAGTCCTAAAGTATGAAACATGTCACACAAAACCTTTTTCTACTTTGTCATAGTTTTTTTTACCTAAAATAAGCATGTATCTCTCTCTCTATATATATATGTATATCGCTTGTATATTTGAGTAGTAATCCTTATTTTATATATATTTCATTGAATGTGATGGACAAAGAAAATTTTATCAAATTTTTCAGTTTTTTTAATGTTTTTATAGTTTTTCTTTCATGGGGACTAAGATAGTGTAAAAACTTGTTTGTAATGATTATTGTTCTAGTTTGAAACTGGATGGAATGTGTTGGCATTTTTAAAGGCACTCCAACATGGAATTACTACTACTCTTATCCAGCACGGCTTAGAATTACTACTATTTCTACACAATACAAGTTAGAATATAAACACAGAAACATATACTAATGATCAAAAACTTGAAAATTGCTAATGAATTGGCTGAAAGCATTTGGGACAATAATCACTACAGCCAGTTTCTACACTGTCTAAAGACATTAGAAAAACTTTTTTCTTTTCTGTCACATTCAATGAAGCATATATAAAAGACAGATTGTCGGTCAGGTGAGGCCAAAAAATGTTGTGCCTTTAAGTGAAATTTCTCTCGTCATAGAATCTCTCAAAGTTTTTCATATTTGCACTTTCATATCCAAACATAAACAAAGAGAATTTTAGAATGGATTTTCTGAATCACTGCTCCTCATGGCTAGGTTGATTAAGGCATGCCAGGCTTAGCAGTAGTTTTCTCTGCCCTGAGGGATGCAAGTTCAAATCATGCCAGGGAGCACTTTTTTTTTTTTTAATAAGATTTTTCAAACATTCAGACTGGTAGATGAAAATAAATAAATATACTGTTTAATAAATAAACAGAGTGCATACTCAAATACAAGTATCCACTAAAAATAACGTTTAAAGTGATAAAAATATTACATTATATGTAGTCTAATATTAATGATGATACATTATCTAAGAAATTTGGACAACTTAAGACATCTAGTCATTTTAAAAGGTCTACTTTGAATTCAAAATCATGGAGAGGGCAACAAGAAACCACTTCACTATTATTCCCAATGAACAGTTATGACATTTCACAGATATTAAAGCAAAGGAAGCTGTGAAGAGTCATAAACATCTACATCCTGAAGTGAGATAGCATTTAAAATAATTAAGCTAAAGAAAATAATTTTGGTGTGTGTGTGTGTGTGTGTGTGTGTGTGTGTGTGTGTGTGTGTGTGTGTGTGTGTGTAGCTGGTGAGAGAGGGTCCAGAATAAATCTTATGTGGAAAATCGGTGCAACACAATCTTTTTTTTTTTTTTCAACTATATTTCCCTTCACTGGACTCTGCTGTATTGAGCTAAGCTGAGTATGTGACTTATTTCCCGGATCCATTTGATTTAGTGACACAGTTCTCTCCCCTTAACAAATTTATTTTTCTCTCATCTGACAGACAAACCTTTTGCATTAGAAACTAAAAAATGAGTGATGAATGCCATACCAATTGTCCTATATGACAATGAATGCTGGACAATTTCCTCACAGATGAAGAGAAGATTTGAAGCAACAGAAACAAAGAAAAGAGTGCTGAACTGTTATGTAATATCAGTTGTCCAATATAACAGTGAATACTGGATGATCTCCTCACGGATGAAAGAACAGTCTCAAATTAACAGAGATGTGGTTCTGAAGATGTAAGAACAAGGAAGTTTTAAAGAAAATGGGAATTAAGCTGTCACTTATACGTAAAATCAGAAAGAGACAGTTGAAATTATGGGATACATTATGAAGAAAGAAGGCTTGATGAACGTAATGCTCATAGGACATATTAAAAGCGGGAGCAAATAAATTACCTAATGAGTTTGTGTGAATAGATGGCAGAGCAAGAAGAAATAGGTTTGGCAAAGATCTAAATATTGCTTAGCACTACAAGAAACAGGAAGCTGTGGAGAGCTATGATCGCCTATGTACTGATGGAACATAGCACATAAAAAAAGAGACAAAAAGAATGAAACATATTTCACATGTGTTTGATTCCAAAAAAGGACCCCAAAATGTTAATAATTTATAGAATAACTGTTCTCTAGACAAGTTGATTAAATTTAAGTATAAACCTTTTCAAAATAGAAGCAGTGATCTGGAATTGAAATTGTCATGCCAGTAAAAAAAAAAAAAATCTAAATTAATTATAGTGTCAAAAAATTATTATAACAATTATAATTATCATTAATCCACTCATTCTAAACCAATGAGAATCAACCCCACTTTTCTCTCTAGATGCACAAACACAGGACATTCTCACTGTCAGACAAGCAGTTCACACAAGCTTGTTCATGCTAGATAATATGCACTCTGCCAGAAATTGTAACTAAGGTCTGCTCAGCAGAGTTGCAGTATAAACCACAGGTGAGCTTTGTGGGTGTTGAATAAACACAAATGTATTTGAGCAGGTGTCTGCAATGGGGATTAACTAGCAGTATTAGTAGATTGGCATCCTTGTGGCTGTGCCACTTTTTACTCAGCATTATAACTCCCCTACAGAATGAAAGCTTTGATGGCCCATGTTCTGAATCCATCAAAGAATTCAAGATGTGGAATCAGTAACTACTAAACACTTCAAATATGTCAGTCTGTAATTTAGTTTCAGAGAAAAGGAATCTGAACATAGAATTAGCTGCGAAAGAGGTAGTTTTGCCCAATACTGCAAATTGCTACAAAGCCAAAACATCAACCTAAAATCTCAATTCATGTTTTTATATAACCTTGTCAGATCAAGATTTTCATATAGATGTCATAAATGGCACCAAAATCATTCCGAGATATCTTAACTATCAGCTATATACAACCACTTTCTCCAATTTATGATTTTGAGTGAATGAAGCCTGTAGGTCTTTGTGAGGACAATTCTTCTTTGAACTTTCTGGACTGGTGCTACAGAATTACAAAGAAAAAACTGTTCCCAGTAAATGCAAAAGAGGAGGAAGAGGGTACAATGGTCCCAGGTTCAATATCCAATCAAAGCATGAAATAAAAATTTAGTTTATATTTAATTTGAATAAAGTGTTTATTTCATGTTTCATCTATTTTTACAGATTTAAAATCTCTTCATTTCTCACATTTCTCAGTACTAGGCCCTATAGACCCCTACTGGAGTCTTAGGGGCATAAAATCAAGGAGTTGGCTTTGGGCATCACCAAACCTCTGCATGTCACTGACTGTACAAAGTAAGAGAAACCACTTCAATTGATGATTGTTGATAACAGCAATAACTAAAATAAGTGACATAATCAAAATGTTGATGTTCCACACTACTTTAAACAAAAGGCTAGGAAGGAAACCACCATTAGTACTGGAAAGAGCAATATCAGTAACTGGACTTGACTTAAGAAACCTAATTTCCTGAAAAAATTGTTCTAATAGAAATATTATATAAATTTCAACTGAAAGTAACACTGGTTGCTCAGTCAATGAATGCCGAATCTTTTCTTACAAGGAAATGTCTAATATTACCATTACTATTAGTGGATGTACATGCAATGTGTATAATATTATTTGAAATTTGATCTAAAACTTTTAATGAATAATGTTTCATTTATATGATTGAAAGTAGAAACAATGACAAAGTCTATTTCAAGGTTAACAAAGGAAATAAGAGTACTTACCTCTGATACCTGAGAAGATATGATAATTAAGGAAGAGTGATCTGCTTCAGTATTCACTTACCCTCACCCTTCTCTGTCAAATTTCCATTATTTCAATTTTTTATTACTTCATATATTTTTGTTTTATTGTCTTTTTATAGTTTTTGTATTTATAGTTATTGTTTTTATTTTATTTATTTTTATTTTATATTATTTTATTTTTTATTGTTTATTTTTATTTGTTTTTATTTTATTTTTTATTTACACTATTTACATTCTTCGGATTGTTGTCTGCATCTTTATTGCCATATTCAATTATTTATTCACTTCATTTATTTTTATTTATTTTAAATTTATTTTGTATTTGTTTTTAATTTTTATTAATTTTTATTTTATATTATTTTTATATTTATTTTAAAATTTATTTGTTTTCATTTTATATTAATTTTTATTTTATTTTTATTTGTTTTTAATTTATTTTTGTTTGTTTTTATTTTTATTGTTTTTATTTTATATTATATTTTTTATTTATTTTTATTCATTTTTTTTTTTTTATTGTTCTTATTTGTTTTTATTCTCTTATTGTTCTTTAGCCCAAATGTTTTTCACTGATATGCTTGTTTGGTTTGCAAATTAAGTTGCAGCAATTTATTAAACCAGCAAAGCAGCAAATCATTTTTGTCGCATCTAATATTATTCCTTTGTTCCAAATTCCTATAATTTGATTTGAGAAGCTAAAACATTCTAGCTGGATATATTGTGATTAAAAAATAATCAACAATAATCAAAATGCCAGACAGTAAAAAATCTGTAGAATGCTTTAACATTTATTTAAATACTAGAATAATACTTATAAAACAATAATAGCATTGTTTACATAGTGACTAGCATTTCTACCAATAATCAGAGTACCTCTAGGATCAAAGTGTAGAATTTCTACTTTCTTCCTCTTAAAGTCATGAGGGAAGCCTGGTCCCAGGAGTTCCAACCCTGTGGCAGCACCTTCCTTATTGCACTTAAGAGGGATGGCTGGTATGACAATGGTTATGAGGACTGGGCAATTTTTTGTCCCTGGTCCATATCTATGTGTATGGGTATTACATTTAAACTGACCTTGTTAAGAACAATGACTGCATACAAGATGAAAGGACATGATACAAAGAATAGATAGATAGATAGATAGATAGATAGATAGATAGATAGATAGATCTATGTGGGATGTAGAAGGTAATTACCATATTTGACAGCATATAAGGCACTAAAAATATCTTTTAAAATTCCCGTGAGTCTTATATGCCATATGTAGGTTTAAAATTTGTGATAGTAAGCTGAAATTAACTATATGGCAACTCCTATTAGCTTAGACTTTAGAGTAACTTCCATATACCTATTGTCATTATTTAAAAGGCTATTATGCAGATTAAAAGTGTTATCATTGATAATATTCACTATATTAATTTCATCACATTTAATATTAGTACTTTGTTTCACTAAAATTAAATGCAATAAATTCAAATTATATATTTGTAAAATATATTTGTTTCATGAATATTTTACTTGCAATAACTTCCCGTTGCATTGTTATAAATACAATCAGAATTTTTATATCCTAATTATTCCACTAAGTCGTTTATAAGACACAGTTTGTACAGATCATATAAAGGAAATTTTTTAGCTGAATCCTTCAGATTTGACAACAGCAAGTAAGAGGTTAATCTACAAGAAATAGAAGCTTCATTGCGTACAAGCTTCATTTAATAAATTATGCTAAAGAGCCTACAGAAAATAATGACACGTTACTGGTGATCACAGGAAAATAACCTATGGGCATCAAAGAAAGGAAACTAACCTTCACCACCTAGCTCCACACTGGCCTGAAATTGAAGAAGAAATTAAAACGTGGGTTGTAGGTAAGAGGAGTACAGGCAGAATTATTACTACAAAAATGATGAGGAACAACGCAAAAAGATTAGCGAACAAAAAAGGGGATTCAAAACTTTATAGGAACAGAAAGATGGTGTTATCATTTTATGAAATGAGAAGGTTTGTCAATATGTACAAAAAGATTAAATTGCGTAGAGAATACCAGCTGACTATGATGACAAAATAGTAAAGTTTCATAAATTTGTTATACATGCTTGAAAAAGAACTTCTTTTGAACTAGGCCAGATGAAGTCCACTAATGTTTGATGTTCCATCAAACAAAACTGTAAGTATTAAGGGATTCAAGACTATTACAATAAAAACCACAAACCGTGAGAAGACCCATTATATGGTCATTCTTGCATGTTGCACCGATGGCACAAAACTGTCTCCTTTTCTGATTTTTAAGAGAAAAACTACACCAAAAGGTAAAATATCAAAAGGTGTGCATGTTCAAGCTGGATGGATGAAGCTGGTCTATAGTTATGCCTATGAGTTGTATGGGAAAGGCGTTCTGGTGAACTATTATGAAAGCCGTCTCTTCTGGTTTAGAATCAGTTCCTAGCACATAGGACTGAATCCATTAAAAAGAAAGTAGCAGAATTGAAGACAGAGATAGTGGTTATTCCTGGTGGACTAACAAGTCAGTTACAACCTCTGGATATATCTTTGAATAAACCATTCAAGCAAAACATGAAGGATCAATGAAACACATGGATGGCAATGCCTGATCATAACCTTACACTTACAGGAAGAATAAATAGACCCAGTATTGCACAATTTTGCGAATGGGTGAAGCAAGCTTGGGATGATATTAGACCAGAAATTTTTGTGAAATCTTTTAAAAAGTGTGGCATTAGCAATGCTCTCAATAGAGTGGAAGATGACTCACTATTTGATGATGATGATGATGATGATAGTAGTATTGAAAATGAGTATCAGAGTTTTGATAATGAAGATGATGAGTTTTATGGATTTGAAGATGAATAAAATTTTAATGGTAACTGTACTTTTGCTCAGTTGTAATAATTGCTTGATTTTTATTTTGTTTTCTTACCTTTGCATATAATAAAGTTTTTATAGGCTCATGTTCTTTTTTTCCTATTATTTTTTTTTTAATTTTAATCATGGCTTGTTTAGCCAAAATAATACCATATAAATATTGCCTAGGCTGTACCATTTACGAATAATTTTACTAATTACTAATTTTTTTCTTGATTTGCCCTGCTGAAATTGGGGTGGTGTCTTATACACCCGTATGTCTTATAGGCCGTCAAATATGGTATCTTACCTTTGACAGGATAAATTTACTGATGTTGTAAGGAGCCCCTGAGAAACACTTGACAGTCTGTTGGTGAGGATAGTCAATTGCTGCTTAGCTCTTGTTGGAAACAGATAATGTAGCCAGTTGTGGTTCATGATTGATTTGTTTTTTATGGCTTATCAATTTTTTGCTGGTTATTCAAAGCCAGAAAATATTTTTAGAGTGTAAGAATTTTTTGAGATAATAATGACTTACTGATATAAGTCTCATTAATTATAATATAGTTGGGGGAGGGTATAAGAGGTGGATTCATACCTTTCCAAAGGGTATTTAAATGTAAACAAATATAAAAAAAACCTGACTGGAATTGGAACACGGCTCTTTGATCTCAAATTCTGATTCATTATCCATTGCACCCCACACATATCCATGCTTACAACACCTGGTATTCCCAAGCAGTCAGCCATATAGATACTTACCAGACTTAACATTGCTTCACATCAGTGATCTTGTGAGAACCAATGTTTAAATGTGATATGGCTGTAAGCCAGTTATAATTCAGCTGACCCTGGTAGAAAGCAGAATCTTCATTCATCCTAAGTAGGAACATAGAATATATCACTAGAGCTCTACTGTGTTTTCCTTGAAGATGTTACAAGCAAGACCTTCTTTTTATTAATCTCCTTCATATACTGATTGCTTTCTTTTTGTTTTTTTAATTTCTCTATATGTGACAATTTGTGGTAGTTATATATATTTATGTATTACATGCCTGTATGACTTATATATGTGTACTTCACCATTATATATAAAATGTTTTCATGTATAACTCAGTTTTGGAATTCATTTGTTTAGGTTATTCTAGTCCTTCCTTCGGTTGTTGGAAGGTATTAGTATATCATAGATATACTAATGCCAATTATGGATGTTGGAGAGTGTAGAAGCCCAAGATATTTCTTCTCTCTTCCCATATTTCCCATTATCCATAAATATAGAAAATTAACACCTAACCAAATATAATTGATTGTCATCATCATCATAATTGTAAAATTTAGGTAATAAAAATAATTTTCTTACTATAGTAAATATACTTTATTACTCAAATTATATAAGATTCCCAGGCAATAACTTTAAATTGTGAAGTATGCATTTCAAGTCAAACTGGTTGCATTAAAACAGAAATTTATTTATTTGTATTCTCTGGAGTGAGAAAAAAACTATTTAGAGCCTTGATTTGTTTTGATGGCAATAAAATAAAAAAAATTGGTTAATATATTCATACACGCAAAGACACAAAAAATAAAAATAAAATGTGTACAGATTGCGATGGGTAAATTGTCGCCATTTTATATTTTTAATTTTGTGCATGTGCATTGTTTGCTTGTGCTTTTGTTGACTGCACAGTATAGTAGGGTTAGTTGGGCACCGTCTGTGAGAAAAAGAGAACCATGATACTTTTCATTCTGCCAGAAATTTGGAAATGGTATGCTGTACTGCTTCATGCCAGAAACTCCAATATGAACATTTCAGAATGTTTAGGTGTCAATCTGAGGACAGTGCAGAGAATTCAGAAACGGTTTGAGGAGTCTAATGACAATTATGAAGGTATGGCAGCTCAAAAAACTCACTCTGATCATTCTGATAAGAAAAGAACTCCTGAATTTGTTGGTGAAGGCCTCAGACTCAACATGGAGGCCTGTATCTTGAGGAGGTAGTGCTGCCCTGGGTCAAGAGGGTTGCTACTGTAAGACCCTATGTCTGGAAACAGGACTCTGCACCATACCACACAAGCAGGAGAACCCAGTCATGGCTGTTAGATTAACACCAAAGATGAACTGAAGGCAAGGATTTATAGCAGTATTCACAAACAGGGAGACGGTCCAGAAGAGTTGCAAGAGATTCTGAACTCATCTGGAGGCTGTGGTTGAAGCCAATGATGATTTTATTGAATAAATTTACTCTTTCATATTTCAAGATATTTTTGTGTAATTTTGGTAAATATATCTGTTAAAATGAGATGTCAGTATTATTTTCATTTTTGTATAATTTAGATGATAATTTATCCATCGCACCCTGTACATGTGTACATATACATACATGCACAGATATACAAAACATAATTCTATGTGTATGGCCATAAAACACACATACACAAGGAATGTCATACTACATGGCTAAGAAACTGACATATATTTACATTCATGCCAGGTTGATATGTGAGTCCAGGTTAATGTCAGAATTTTGTATGCTTGAAATAGTAAAAGATGTATTCCAAAAGTTAAGCAAAGTATTACGAAGTAAGAAAATTTTGTTAGAGACAAAGAAAAAGTACTGGGCTGTTATATAATATTGGTCCTCCTATATGGTAATGAATGCTGGACTTTAGGCATCAGAAATGGTTTTCTACAGAAGAATTCTGAGAATACCATGGATAACATGTAAGCAACAACAAAGAAAATAGAAACAGAAGCGATCCTTATAATTAGAATCAGAAAAGACAATTAAAATTTGTAGGATACATAATGAGGGAAGAGAGTTTAGAAAATTTGATACTTACAGGCCTAATGAAGGCAAGAGGGACAGAGGAAAGCAGTGAATAACTTAACTAACAAATTTGTGAAAATGGTTGGCAGAACAGGGATTAGGAGAGAAAGCAAAAAAAGAAACATTGCTAAGAGCTACAAAGGACAGGAAGTTATGGATACCCATGATTGCCTACATACTTAAGGGACATGGCATTTACAAGATGAATATTTTCTAATGCAGAAAAATCCTCCCCACTGAGAAGATTAGTGCAACACAATCCTCCTATCCCCAATCCTATCACTTGGTTTTGCAATAGTAATTAATAAATATCAATGCCTCCCCTCCTCACTTCCTAATTTGGTTTTGTGCCATCTGAAACTAACTCTAGCAAATATCAAAGCAAGCCCACCTAACTTAGAAGATTAGTGCAAAACAATCATATTACTCCTAGTCATTGCTTCCAATTTGGTCTTGTCATACTAACCTTTATACTTTGGCCTACACCACCAACAGTCACAACACCAT